TCAGCTTCTGTTTATCTATTCCTATATCGACGTGAAAATCTAAAAGTTCAAAAGCCACTTAAAGGTATGAACTATAGTCATAAACAAAATTTATATCATATCGATGAAAGTATAGTAATAAAAAAAAAACTTGATGAGTTTAAACTTTTAGTCTCATTCATTTTCTGATAAGAGATATGATCTATTATAGACGTTGTTGTTTTTTTTTTCTTTCTCCGGTTCGTTTGCAACAAGCAACGATCGTTTATCATTCGTATATACAATTTCAGAGTGTGAACATTCAATCAACATTCATCGAGATATAAAAATGAATCCTTATATTTATAACTTTGCTCATTCAAGTACAAATAATATATTTCATGATTTGGTGAGTTTCTTTGACGTAATTTTTGAGTGAATAACACCTGCTGCTACCAAATGGACACTATTGCTTGATCACCCATTCGATTGAATTAGTCGTTTCGTTGATTAGAATGGCTGTCGTCCGTCATACGATGAAAATGCTTAATCATATTTTCTGTTCATTCCATTCGCCAGGGGGCAAACACTTGTGTCTGCTCTTCTTACTCTCGTGTATATACGAAATAATATTTCTTTCAAGCCGTTACCTACTACTATCTGTTCTTTGTTAAGACTTAGTCTTTTCCTTTGTCGCTCATTAATCATGATCAATGTTCAATTAGGAATGTCTATTTTAATCGTTCTTGTCTGTTTGATCAATGTTTATCATGATCCTGACATTTTACTATTTGTTTGTTTTTCCTCACTATAAACAAGAGTATATAGTATCTAGTGATCTTAGATTCGTGAGTATACACATTGTTATGAATTCAAAAAACAAAAAAGAACGTGAGAAGAAGAGAAAGAAGAAGAAGAAGAAAAAAAAGTATATTAAAAGAAAAGTTCAATAAGAAGAATACAGACAGATATCCGGACACGCGACAATTAGTGTTAGAATTGTCCTCGTCTACACACAACAATCGTATATAACAACTTTTTAGGTCAAAATCTGTTTCCGCTATAGATAGACTACATGCATAAACTGACCTGCCCCAAACAAATAGTCTATATGAACTTGATTTTGACGTCTTAGCTTTTATCATAACTAATCCGATTAGCCTATTTCTTTTCAGATGATTATAAGATCATAGAAAACATAAACGACATGTCAATCTTCGCACTGACTCAGCTAGTAGTCAATGAAAACAGGTCATCTTCCTTGTTCTACTAACAAGACTACTATCCATGTCTCGACATTCTTCATCAATCATTCGCTCTCTCGCTCCTTTTTTTTCTCTTTTCTTTAACATTTCGAGATTGTCCACTTTTTCTTTTCCTCTTCCTCTCCGATCACTCCGCACAATCTCGTCTGATTGACCCTGGCATAAGCTGATTGAGCATATTGTGTCCTCATCGTTTTCTTTTATAGAGATTGACATATAAAGCATTACTCATAAGTTTCTAACTAATCGAAGACAGAGTAAGTTCTCTATATTTAATCTCTTGATGACATAAGTTGAGTACTATTTTAAAAAGATTACGTGACAACATGGTGTATGTATTCGTTTTTCTAGTAATATATAATTAAAAATGTTCTTTTCGTTTATGTTTTATTATAGATTATAAAGAAAGAAAAAGTTGTATATGTTCTTGAAGAAAATGGACTTTTAATAGGCAACAACTGTGGTGTTTGAACAAGAGAGTAAAAGAACAAACATTTTTCTTTTCTTACTACTACTTCATCATTCATCAATCTTCCTAAATCAATGCAAGTAATTCTATATAGATGATTACGACTTATACATGTCAACGTTGTTTACAATTACCTCCACCTCCACCGATATTTTCTCTGGGTCCACCACCAAATATCTTATCTATTGATATTCGTTGTTCATCTCATTTCTTATCATCATCATCATCGATACAACATAAAAAATTTACTTATTCATCATCATCATTGTCTGTATCTGTCGCTTTGGGATTTATGATTGTTTTACTTATCTCAACAAGTACTATTCTTTTAATCAAGTAAATGACATTTTTGTCTATTCTCAATTCGATCATTAAAGTCTCTCAGGTGTCAAAATATGAGATTTTTCATTTATTTAATGAACTAATTATAATCATGTATATATATATATATTCATTTGTTTCTCACAGTAGGATATAATAAGTCATGATTTCGTTTCTTTTTCTCTATACTGCATAGCACAGCATGTGTACTAGAATTATCAACTGGTAACAAAATATTGATCTAATTTTATTCGATATACATATATGCTAAATAAACATTAGAGATATACACATTTGATAAAGATTTTGTTTTGAATTCATTTTTAAATATATCCTTTTTAGAAATCGAATGATCAAGCGACGGCAAGAACGTCAAAAAAGATATGATGATAATTCTTCATCGCACAAGTTCAATGGACATAATCATCATCATCATCATCATCAAGATTGGACAGTAAGTTTTTACATGACATTGAATAGAAATTTAACATGCAAGGATAATCGAATAGACAATTTATCAAATTTATAAATCAAAAATTCTATAGAATTAAAAAAAAAGATAGATGACCTTTTTTTCTTTATTTTTTTTAGAAATTCATTCCATTATTAAGCGATAGTTGTAGTAGTGAACATACATTAAGTACACCTCCAAGTGAATATCCTTGTGGTATTATTGAACCATTTTTAACAAATGATATACATCATGAATATGAACAAATAAAATATGAACATTCATTGGATAAATATTGTCTTGTTTATTGTCGTCAATGTGCAAATTATCATCAAACAAATTTAATTCAATCAAATTATCAACATCAATGTACATGTCATCTTCCAAATGATAAACATATATTTGAACTTCAACCAATGTTAAGAACAACAGATAATGATGATTCAAATTCTTAGAATTTTTTTCTTTGTTTTAACCCTGTGATTATTTATTTGTTGTTGTATATGTAATCATATGCTGTGTTGTTTTGTTTTGCTTTCCTTCTCCTGTTTTGACAATTATTTTCAAAAAAAAAAACAAAATCGATCGAAATGAGAATTATAGAAATTAACCGTCTACATTCATGGACAATAAATTATATAAACGAAGACAGTTTTATTTTGACAAAAAAGAGCATCACTCGAAATTTATTCCAGCTCTTAGTTTTATCTTGAAATTAGATATTCTCAAACGTACAGGCAGGAATGGCGCGGGTCAACCAACGTTGGGGGGAGGAGGTGTAGCAAAATTTTTTGGATTAAAAAGATGAATTTTGCGATTTTTTGAAGGATGTAGCATCATATTTGGTGAAAAATCTAAGAAGATTTGCCGATTTTGTTGAGTAGGGAACAGAAATTTTCCAAGATTAGAGGGGGGAGAGGGTATTACACCCCCGATACCCCCTGGTCGCGTCACCTCTGCGTACAGGACTTCGTTTATTATAATTTCAATGAAAAATGCAACTAAGATTCTTAGTCTTGATGTTCATAAGAACCTCCGCAATCCTTTGTTTCGTAAAAAAATTATTTATTCGTCAAAGTTGTCTCTTAAAACATTATGTAATTTTATATGGAATGAATTTGAATCGTAGGATTGATGTTGAGTGACATCTATATTACTGTTCGATTTGATAGTTTCTTATTGACCAATACTAGATCAAGTTATTCAATAATAAAAGAATGATTTTTGTCTTGTAATTCTTTCATTTCCTATTAAAAAACTTACCGATATGGGTGAACCAAGTCATCGGTCAATTGAAATACCATTACATTCCGGTGATGAAGTATGTTTATTTTAATTTAATTTGATTTTTTTCTAAGAATTTATTATAGGTTATTGAAGTAAGTCTTGATCAATTACCCGATGGTCAAGAAGTTCTTGCTATTCTTCAACAAGAAAATTGTCCCTTACATATATGGGTTACACTTGCTGTAAGTTCTTCATTGTCTTTTCTTCTTCTAAATATAATAAAATATTTTCTTTCTTAGTTGGAATATTATCGTCAAGATAAAGAAAAAGATTTTGTTGAAATTCTTAAATCAGCATGTAATGAAATCAATAATCAACGACAACAACCACAAACATCTGGTCAACGTGCACAAGAAAATGATCAAATGCGTTGTTTAGATACATTAGCTGCTTATTATGTTAAACGTGGTCATCGAGAAAAAGCGAAAGATAAAAAACGTGAATATTTTACTCAAGCAACATTACTATATACACATGCTGATAAAATTCTTATGTATGATCTTAATCATTTACTTGGTCGAGCTTATATATGTTTACTCGAAGGTGATAAAATGGATCAAGCTGAACAACAATTTAATTTCGTTCTTAATCAAATGCAAAATAATATTCCGGCATTACTTGGTCGTGCTTGTATTGCATTTAATAAAAAAGATTATCGTCAAGCATTAAATTTATATAAACGTGCTTTAAAATATTCACCAGAAAATTCAGCTGGTATTCGTGTTGGTTTAGCAAATGCATTTGCTAAATTAAATAAACTTGAAAAAGCTGAGTAAGAAAGCAAAAAACGAAAAAGAATTTATTTAATATTTCATACTTTTTAATTAATAGATTATCATTTAATCGTGCAATTGAAATTGATTCGAAATGTGTTGGTGCATTAGTTGGTTTAGCTATACTTGAATTAAATATGAAAACACCTGATTCAATTAAACATGGAGTTATTAAACTTTCTCGAGCCTATCAACATGATCCACAAAATCCAATGGTTTTAAATCATTTAGCTAATCATTTCTTTTTTAAAAAAGATTATCAACGTGTTCGTCAATTAGCCATGCATGCATTAAATTATACAGAAAATGAAGCAATGCGTGCTGAAAGTTGTTATCATTTAGCTCGAGCTTATCATGCTGAACGTGATTATGAAGAAGCATTTCGTTATTATTATCAAGCAACACATTTAGCACCAGAAAAATTTGTTTTACCATTATTTGGTCTGGGACAAATGTATTTACAACGTGAAGATACAACAAATGCAAGTGATTGTTTTGAAAAAATCTTAAAAATTCATCCAAATGATCATGAATCAATGAAAATCTTAGCTAGTATTTATGCTGAATCAAATGATCTTGATAAACGAGATAAAGCAAAAGAATTTTTAAAAAAAGTTACACTACATGATACACATGATATTGATTCATGGATACAATTAGCTGAAATTCTTGAAGGTGTTGATTTACAAGGTTCATTAGATGCTTATATGACTGCATCAAGATTAATTCGTGAATTTCATGGCAAAGATACTCCAATGGAAATGTTAAATAATATGGGTTCATTACATTATCGTTTGAATAATAATGAAGAAAGTCGAAAATGTTTTGAAAAAGGTATTTCATATGCTGAACAAGCTCGTGAAGTTGAACCAGCCTATGCAAATTCAATTCTTGTTACAATGAGATATAATTTAGCACGTGTATGTGAAGCATCATTTGAATTTGATAAAGCTGAAACATTATATAAGGAAATTTTACGTGAACATCCAAAATATGTTGATTGTGTACTTCGTTTGGGTTGTATGGCACGTGATCGTGGACAAATTTATAGTGCATCAGATTGGTTTAAAGATGCACTTGAAATTAATCATAATTCACCAGATGCATGGACTATGATTGGTAATTTACATGCTGCAAAACAAGAATGGCGACCGGGACAAAAGAAATTTGAAAGAATTTTACATAATCCATCAACAGCAAATGATTCTTATGCTTTAATTTCATTAGGAAATATTTGGTTACAAACATTATATATGCCTACACGAGATAAAGAACGAGTAAGATTTTGTTTAAAAAATACTTTAGTAATAAATCTTATTTATGATTTAGGAAAAACGTCATCAAGCTCGTGCTCTTCAAGTCTATAAAGTAGTTCTTAAAAATGATAATCGTAATATTTGGGCTGCCAATGGTGTTGGCTGTGTTTTAGCACATAAAGGTTATTTAAATGAAGCTCGTGATATTTTTGCACAAGTACGTGAAGCAACTGCTGATATGGCCGATGTTTGGCTTAATATCGCACATATTTATGTTGAACAAAAACAATATATACCAGCTGTACAAATGTATGAAAATTGTTTAAAAAAATTTTATAAATATAATAATGTCGAAGTTTTAACATATTTGGCACGTGCACTTGTTAAAGGTAATCGTTTACATGAAGCTCATAATGCTTTATTAAATGCTCGACGTGTTGCACCACATGATCTTACATTAATGTTTAATGTTGCATTAGTTCAACAGAAATTAGCACAAGAAATTTTAAAAGATGAAAATTCAACATTAACTTCTGTTCTTAAAGCAATTGATCAACTTCGAATTGCTCAAAAGTAAAAAAATACCAAAAAAACAAAGAAGAAAATAAATTTTTCTTTTTAAGGACATTTACATGGCTTGGTGAACATGGTGATCCACATCGTCTTGATTTAAGTCAAGCAGCACAAGAAGCACAACAATGTTCAGATTTATTATCTCAATCAACTTATCATGAAATTCGTGCACGTAAAAAAGATGAAGAAGAACAACTTGTACGACGAAAACAAGATGAAGAAAGAAGAAAATTACGTGAAAAACAAGTTCAAGAAGAAGTAAAATTTTTATTTTTATGAAAAATTATTTTTATATATGATTTCGGCTTGTTTTTCTCAGGAAGAACGACGTCGACTAGAAGATGAACGTCGGCGAATGGAACGAGAAAAACGACAAGAATTTGTTGAACGTACAAAAAATCTATTAACAGCTGCTGAATCAGAAGGAACATCAGGAAAAGGTCAACGATCAACTGGTGGTGGATCAAGAAAAGTACGTTCATTATGTATTTTCTTACTACTATTGATTTCTTTTTTATTAATATAGAGACCTAAACATGAAGGAGAAGAAGAATTTATTAATGACACAACTGATCTCATACCTAATACGGAAAAACAACAGAAAAAACGAGTAAGAAAATCGAATGACAATGATGATAAACGTGATAGAAAATCGTCGAAGTATGTTTTTGTTAATTTTACCTTTTAAAATACAAAAAAAGATAAATTTCTTTGTTTATTGAATAGGAAACGAAAAGTTACTGTTAGAAGTGAGAGTGATAATGAAAATGATGAAACAATCAAACGTAAAAAGAAATCCGGTGGTCATAAAAAACGATCAAGTAGAATGACAACAAATGATGATGAAGTATCACAAGATAATGAAGAACAATTATCGGAAGTTGAACAAGATGATAATGCAAGTGATGAAGAAGAGAAATCGAAACGAAAATCAGTATCGAAAAAACCAGTAAATATAAATTGTTATTTTTTTTTATTTATTTTATTCTAAATCTTTAGACACATCGATCAAAACGTCCATCGAAAACATCTCATCGACAATCTGAACCATCTGGTCGTTATAAATCGAAAGCAACGATTTCAAGTAGCGATGATGAATCAGATAATGAACCATCACGACCAACAATTCAATCAGCTGATGATCAAGAAGAAGAAGAAGAAGAAGAAGAAGAAGAAGAAGAAGATGAAGTGGAAAAAGCAGAAGTAGCACGAGATGAAGATAATAATGGAGGGTATGTATATATATAATGACCATTTCAAAATTGAGTTTTATTTTTATTTAGATCACCAGCTGCCGAAGATGAACAAGAAGAAGAAGAACAGGAGGAAGAAGACGAAGCAGCTGAAGATAATGAACAAGAACAAGCACCTGAAGATTTAGTTGTTAGTGATGAAGATTAATAATTATTTCTATAGAAATACAAAACACACTAGCTATTATTTGTTTGATGTACATTTTTCTTTTCAAATTTAAAGACAATATATTGAGTTTAACAAGCACTCATTTCTCTTTTTGATATGTTTCAGATAAAATTAAATAGAATTTTTTCTTCATTATGGCAAATGCAGATGTTCTCGATATACTTTCTGATACTTTAACACCAACAAATCGTGGATCTGCAAATAAAGATGAAATTATTCGTGAAAAAGTATTCATCGTCTTTATCAAAAAAATTCAATATTTACTTTTTTCTTGTTTATAGAAAAAAGGCCCAAAAAAAAGTATTCGTCGTCCAGAAGGTATGAAACGTGAAGTATGGAGTTTAATTGCACCTGATGATCGGTAAATTACAATAGATTTTCTTAATAATCATATATTTATTGATTATATATATATGTAGTGAAAGTGTTCCAATAGTTCCAACAGATACAAAATCTGGTGGAAATTCTTATGCTAGATGGATAAAACATTCTGCAATGAAAGTTCGTCCATGGCAATGGACTCCATTTAATAATTCAGCTCGTGGTTCTAATGATACATTTATTCTCTATCATTGGCAACATAAAACAGATCCGAATGATCCTCAACAAGAATATGCATTCGCAAAATTTAATAAAGTAAAAAACAAAACAAAATTTATTTTTATGAATATTTTATTTTAATTCTAATTAGCATGTTGATGTTCTTACGTATACAGACAATGAATATGAACAATATTTACAAGATAAAGATTGGACACGAACAGAAACTGATGTTTTATTTGAATTATGTCGAAAATTTGAATTGAAGTTTTTAATTATACATGATCGTTGGAATAATATTTTATATCCTGATAGATCAGTTGAAGATTTAAAAGAAAGATATTATACAATATGTACAACTCTTGACTATGCACGAACAAAACGTCATACAGATAAATATAATTTTGATGCAGCTCATGAACGTCGACGTAAAGAACAATTAAATAAATTATTAAGTCGTACAAAAGCTGAAGTAAGACATTTTAGGTTATTTTTTCTAAACGTGTCCTTGTCTTACTGTAATTTTCTCATGAATTTAAATGAGTAATGTTATTCAGAAAAGTTCGCTTGTTACTCGTTTTTAATTTTACTAATGTAGTATAATTAGTCATCCTTACATTTTATTCTAGGAAGAAGAAGAATTATATTTAATGAATGAATTAAAACGTATTGAAAATGAACGTAAAGAACGTGAACGTATTATTTCGCATGATGTTCAAAAATTTGTTCAACAACAAGATCCAGGGATTATAACTACTACTACAACAACAGCAACAACTCCAATACAACGTACAGTTTCATCATCATCAAGACGATCGTCAATTAATCAAGATTATCTTCAACGTCTTAATAGTTCATCGAATCGAACACCAACAACACAACGAACTGTAAGAATGAAAAAAAAATAAATCATAGAAATAATACATATTCTATTTATTTTAGACTACATTTGAACCACCAGCTGGTATTAAATTTCCTGAATTTAAACGTCCCGGTGTTTTTCTACGTAGTCAACGTGTAAGTTTTTCTTGAAATTTTCATAGAAACATTACGATTTATTCTATACAGATGATATTACCAACATCAATACCAAATAAAAAATTAGCAGTTATTGATCAAGTTCTTAAACAATGTCAATTAGGTAACGAATATTATGTTTTATAATTCATAGAAATAAACATGTTTGTTTTTATTATAGAACGAAATCCAATGGCATGCGAAGAAATAGTTGATGAATTTAATGATTTACGTTCTGATATTGTTCTTTTATTTGATCTTAAAAATGCTCTTAATTCAGCTGAATATGAATTACAAACATCATTACATCGTCTAAAAAGTGAAAATGGACCGACAAATGTTGCATTATCATCAACACAACCGTTAAGTGCTAGTAGTACTTCATCAAATGATAATTCAAAAACAGTAAAGAATATATTTTGAAATCAATTAATTAATCTTATCGTTTGTTTTCTTCTTTTTCTTAGCAGTTTGATTTCTTATTATCACAACCAAGTACACCAATTGATAATGTTACATCACCTCGATTATCAGATTCCTTTGAACCATCGAATAATGTTCGTTCAAGTACTAGTGTAAGATTTGTTTGGATAGTAACATATTAGAATTCTTATCAGTCATTTATTCATATATTGACTCTAAATAAATAGAAGAGTGATGCGAGACTAGATCTATTAATATGATAAGATTTTAGATAGATTTTCCATTTTGATGTTCCATCAGATGCTGCTTTAAATACTAAAAACTAATCATGTTCAATTTACATCTTTTGATTCCTTGTGTTTTTTAGAGACAGAACAGGAAAAAAATAACTGAGATCCACATCTCCTGAAAATTTCGACATCAGAATTAAGGAGGAAGTCTTTTAAAAATTCGTGTGTCAACCCATACATATATATTTCGTTATTGAGTTTTTTCGTAGGAAAGCCATAAAGTCGTGTAAACACACGGAATCGAGAAAAGCTGTGATTATAAATCGTTATAACGAGTAAAAATGTTGATCGCAATAGAAATTAGAAGTCCGGTGGGGTTCTATTCTTCAGATGATTGATTCTAATAGGTAGAATTTAGTAAAAATAAGATAAATCGATCAGTGAGAACTCTGTCCTACATTCTTTAAAAATGATTTCTTACCAAATTAATTTAAATTTTCTCTATTTATTCATCCTAAAAACAGATCAAACACATTAGCCAATGCTAAGATTCCTTTGAAAGCGTATTTTATTATTTAATGTCTTAAATTCTTTCTCATATAATATACGAAACGTGGAGGATTGTATTTTATTTACCGAGCGTATCAACAAGAAAGAAAGAATTCGAAATTTGATCTAAACCTTTTACTCAATAACTGATTGGAAGTTAATATGTATTCATGATGAATCATTGTTTATTACGTGTTTTTTTTTCTTATTTTTAGGAAAGAAAACGTCGTGCATTGTCCTCACAAACATCAACTTTAAAAAAGCGTGACAGACAAACATAACATAATATGTATGTTTTTCTTTGTCGAATGTTTCATGCATAGACGCGCATATTTTTGATTTTTGAATAGATATTATTCGTCCTTGTTATTTTTTTTTCTCGTCATCTTCTTCTGTTAATTAAATCATGACTTGTAAATAATGACTTGTCATATCATGTATTCATTTTGTAGATAAAATATGAAAATTATTTTCAAAGTACTTTTTTTTACTTCCATAATTTATTTTTCTTATGCTCGATATCTGGGTTCATGGAGCACTACAACGGATAAATCACTTGTAAACGAATGTTTAAAGAAATCTCTTCGTCGTATAAGTGCTATGCAAAATAATGAAATTTCAGAAACACAAGTATCGAATATCGTTAGTAGAACACAATTAGTTAACGGACTTAATATTGAATTATATTTCAATATCGGACAACAAAAATGGAAATGTACTTTTTATAAACCACTTGTTGAAACACTTGGTATACAATATAACAAATGTGTTGAGACTGATGATGAAGTTCCATCGGAAGAAAGTTCAAACAAACAATCACTTTCAGAAAATAATAATGCTGTTGATGGTGCTAAAGAAGACGATGCTGATGAGGAAGCGAGAATTGACAAACTTAGTCAACAAAAACAAAATCAAAACAATGAACAAGAGCCGGAACACAATAATAGAGAAAATAATGGTGAAGAACACGATGATGAAGAAGACATGAATAACGAACCGGATAATAATGATAACAAAAAAGATGCCGAGAACAATGAACAAGACTCAAAATCGAATGTAAATAAGAACGTAGGAGAACATGATGACGATGAAGAAGAAGAAGCAGCCGAGAACAATGAGCAAGACTCAAAATCGAATGTAGATAAGAACGAAGAAGAACATGATGATGAAGAAGATTTCAATAAAGAATTTAAAACTAATAATGCTGAAAAAAATCAACCAAATAGCGAACAAGACATGAATAATAATAATGATGGAGATAATGCAGAAGTGCCTGTTAAAAATACGAATAACGACGATGATGATAATAACGAATAGAAACAGGAAGCAGAGGTCTGACAGAAAAGATAATAATCATATAATATATCAGTAGTGATATTTATCAATATCAGTTTTTTTGTTTGTTTTTTTTATTATTGTTATATGTGATCTTATGATTAAGATTGGGGCTTTTTTCTACAAATACTCTTATATTTACACTTGTTTTTAATTTATATATGACAATGATAACTGTAATATAATTTTCTTTTATGTAGTTTTTATTTGAATTTTTAATTAATAAAGAAACTCATCAATAATAAAAAATGAACCTTGATAATAAAGGTTACAAAATTGTAAAAATATCTATTAAAAGGTTAAATAATCATTGATTGTTATATAGAAGATGTTGACAGTTAGTGTCAAAAAATGATGGGTGATGTTTATAATATAAATTATTTCTATATCATATTTATTTTACCATTTGAGTAATCGACCGTGATTAGGTATGTACACAAACTATGAAAGACGTTTGTAAATATAGTCATAAAGTTACTCGATTCTTATTATCATGTATTTCTATATGAAGATTATTTAAGTAGATCCACTCTAACACTATGTAATAATAATAATAATTATCTTGTCGAATAAAAACACCTTATAAAATGAAATAGGAGATTCATTCGATGATTTTAATCATATTCTACTTCGCCTACACATACAATTATAGTTGCAATATGCATGTCATTTTTTTCTTAGTAATGGTATTCCCTTCGGGAAAGAAAAAAAAGCGATATAGAGACTGACAGACAAACTAACTATCTTTTTTTTTCTCTCTTCCTTTTTGTTGTCACCATGTTGTATGATCTTGCCATTAGTTATGTCCTTCTAAGATCCACCAGAATGCCAAAAAAACAACTGATCATTCAATGACATACGCGCCAAACATTATACAATGAACGAATCGACGAAAAGAATTGATCGTCTCATGCAACGTCTTCATCATGGTATAACACAATGTGATCATATTGAACAACGAGCTGATCATGCTGAAGAACGTTTATTAATACTTAATAAATCTATCGAAACACTTTCTCGTTTAATTGATGTTAGTTTTTTAATGCGTATTTCATCAGATAAAGAAAAATTAAGATGGTTACAATTAATCAATGAGAAAAATCTTGATTTTACAAATTCAATTGTTAAACAATTCTTCTATCGTCTGGAATTATATTTAGAACGATCAATTATTGATAACAATGAAAAACAAGCTTATTTACAAAGTTTATTTCTCCTACAATCACCAACAATTGTATCATCGGGTTTTTTTAAATAATAAAAATACATAAAAAACAAATAATTTTTTCTATACATCTGTGGCTCATTATCATTGCCAGCATTATTTATTCAACATTGTTTTCGATTCTTAAGGTACTCCACGATTCCTGAAGGTCAGTATTATCTTCATCTAAAATAGTTATATGTAAACAATAATATATGAAACTAGTTCCTATTTACCTTCATTTGAATCTGAATCATCACTTTCATCATCAGATACTTGAGTATCTTTAATTATTTCCTGAAAATAACAAAGAAAGATAAAATATTATTTAAATAATTCATAACACTCTACTTGAGGTGAACGATCATTGGCATCTGTGACCATTGTAGGTTCCATTTTAATTTTAAATATTCCTCGATATTGTTCAATAGTTTGTCTGATTTTTTGAATTACATTATTTAACGCATTAATACCTTCAGTACGATCACGGAATGTTGCTGTTACAGCATAAAGTGGTGGAGCAATGAGATTAATCTTTTTATACAAAAAAATAAATTTTAAAAAATAATTTTTTTTCGATTTAAATATTTACTTTAATTGGCATTTCTTCTGTTGATGCTTTTAAACCTTCTTTTAATGCTGCTTTAACTGCATCTATACCTTCATAACCATAACATGCAACTTCAATATCTAAATATGATCAAAATAGTAAAATATCATAGATAAAAATAAGATATATATATACCAGCTCGATATTTAACAGCTTGTGAACTAACATGATGACGAATATTATTAATTAATACTTTCCTTGTGGTTTCATCGATTTGACAATCATCAAGTTCATGTTCATTACTAAGAATACAATACTTTATTTTTCATTATTTTATATACAAAAATTTACTTTGCAGCTCGGACAAATACATCATAAACTGCACCCTGTTTTCCATACTTTTCATCATAATACCAAGCAGTTTTCTCATATAATTCTTCAAATTCTAAATTTGTTTGTACTCCCGTAACTTCAGCTGTATGATAAAGAATACTATTTACCTAGAAAAAAATCAAACATTTTTTTCATAAATTTCTAATGAACTATAATATTACTGTTTTGCCACGAAAAAATTTTTCTTCACATTTAACAATATCTTCGGGTGATGCGCGATATTTAGACAAATCAATATAACCTTTATCATCATCAACACGCAGAACAACAGCAACTTCTTTTCGACCAACACGAATTAATTTATTTATGGAACGAATTCGACGACGGGATATCTCACTTAATAATATCATACCTAATGAAACAAAAGAAGATAAGATTTTCTATTAAAAAATGTTTTTACCTTTTGTATTATTATATTCAAGTAGACCAGTATCAACACCCATTTCTTCGATTTGTGTGATACAAACCATTACAAGTTCATCCGTTTCCGGAAGTTTATTTTTATAAAAACGGCAGGTTAATTGCATAATTTTTTTTCTTTATAAATCGATAATAAGATAATGAAGTATTATTTTTTGTATGTAGAATGGAAGATAACATTGCAATTAATATAGCGAAAAAATCTGATGTAATTTTGACGATAAGAATTATGAAAGTAAAATTTATTGAATAAGCCTCTCAATATTGGTTACATCGAGATCAAATCAAAAATAATGAGGTCTCTACAATCGCTGTATTTTATTGGAAGAATCTTTTCTTGCTTTTGATTTACTATCAGCTGTGGTTTTTTCTTCTGATCTATTTTATCATATTAGGTAATTTCCAATGAGACAATTATTATTACTTCGTCATTCATTGATATCGATACGATTTTCTTCGTACTCTGTATCTCCAAAAGCAACTGTGTCTCATGATCAGCCAAATCCACCAATATCGGCAGAAAATGTTGATATTACTATTGCTGGTGGTGGATTAGTAGGCAGTGCTATGGCACTTGCTTTTGGTAAACAATTCATTTTTTTGCGTCTTAATTTCATTTCTATATAAATTTCTTTTAGCGGTATCACCTTATTTCAAAAATCATAAAGTAGTACTTCTAGAATCTCAATCAAAACTTCCAAAAGTTTCAAAAAATCAACCATATAGTAATCGTGTATGTGCACTTAATGCTCAATCGGTAGATCTATTTCAAAGTATTTATTTAAATAAAAATATCTCTTATTAATATCATTTTTTATTATATTGAATAGAACTTGGTGCATGGGATTTAATGAAATCTATACGTGTTCAAAAAGTGTCACGCATGCAGGTATAAAATATTTTCGTTTTTATTTGATAATAAAAATAAATTTTATTCGTATTTTTTTTTGGTCTGGGATGCTTGTTCAGAATCACTCATATCATTTGATCAGAACGATCAATCGCAAGAAAATTCACTGGCTTATATTGTTGAAAATGATGTTATACAATCTTGTTTACTTGAACGATTAAAACAATTGAATATTGAACCGAGACTTAATTCAAAAGTAAAAAAATTTGAAAATGAAGAAAATTCTATTCGAATTTTATTACAAGATGAAAAAATAAATCTTCGAACAGGATTATTAGTAAATTAGAATGAATTATCTAATAATTATCATTCTATCATTTTTTAATCTAATTAGATTGCAGCTGATGGATATCAATCAAGTATTCGAGAAATGGCAGGTATATCAACAATACAATGGAATTATGATCAATTTGGTATTGTTGCTACACTTCAATTAGCAGATAATGTTTGTAGATTTTTAATAGAAATAATCGATATTTTATTAGTAAATAATTTAGATGCCAAATAATGTTGTTGCTTGGCAAAGATTTTTACCTACTGGTCCAATTGCTTGTTTACCAGTGAGAAAGTTTCTAATTTTGTATCTTGGAAAATTTTATTATTGTTTGTAGTTAAGCAATACACATAGTTCACTTGTATGGACAGTACCAAAATCGATGCTTAAATCATTGATGAGTTTATCTGATGAACAATTTGTTGATGCTATTAATAAAGCATTTGTAAGAGAATGAAAAATATAATAAAAAAAATACGATTTGATTTTTCAGACATCTGATGTTTACAAACAGAATGGAGTGGTTTCATTAACAGAACGTATGAGATCATGCTGGCAACAAATAATACCAGGTATATGAAAATTTATCTCTTATTATTTCTTTTATCATAACATATATATTAAAATAGCTTCACCAACAATTGCTCAATATCCACCAACTATAATTAATATCGAACCAAAATCACGAGCAGCATTTCCATTATCAGTAAGAAATATATACTCATTTATTTCTTTTAAGAATATTATTGAATATATTTCAGCTTCTTAATGCGAATCAATATGTTCGTCCTCGTTTAGTACTTGTTGGGTAAGAATTAGTTGGTTAAATGAAATAGTAAAATCCATGTTATCTTTTTTTTTATCTAGAGATTCAGCTCATCGTATTCACCCAATGGCTGGTCAAGGAGTCAATATGGGTTTTGCTGATGTACAATGTCTTGTTAATGTACTTGAACGAGCTATTCGAGATGGTGCTGATTTTAGTATGAAGATTTTTTTTTTCTTGATTGATTTCTCTAAAAATTGTTTTTTTTTCTCCTAGATTCTTTAACATATCTTGTTGATTATGAACGAGAACGACAAGCACGATGTTTAGCAAAATTATTATCAATCGATTCATTAAATCGTCTTTATTCAACAAAATTTTTACCTATTGTTGCACTTCGAAGTATTGGTCTTAGTTTTATTAATGAATTCTCACCACTTAAAGTAAATTCTAAATTTAATTCTAAATTAATAATCATTTTCTTTTTTTTAGAGTTTTTTTGCAAAACAAGCAGCTTCTAGTGCTTAGACAATATAAAATAATAAATTTTGTTTGTATCTTTGTAAACATTAAATAAAAAGATAACTTCTCTATGCAACAATTTTCTAATCGAATGATTATGTCACGAATAAGAAATGTAATACATTTACATTTCTTCGTTCTGTAAAAATGCATACTATTCATGTACTTTCAAATGTCATTTGAAATAACTATTAAAAATAGAAATTAAAAGTATGAAAAAGTACAGCAGTCCACTTGTTCCCCCTCAGATTATATTTATTTTTTAAATTGAAAAATAAAGAAATAATAGTTTTAAGAAAAGCATGTCATGCACTTTTTTTTTGCTTCGGCTTTATTTGTTGATAATGTCACCAATTCTTTACGTGCATCGTCATTGTTGACATGGTGAAATTTTTTGTTCTATTTCTACTCCTACAATATCGCCATCTCGTTCTCATTTACAAAAAATGGCTAATTCAGCAGAATTATCAATAGCTGCGAAATGGATTCAACAATCTTCGTCGATATTAATCGCTGCCGGTGCAGGTTTATCAGCTTCAGCAATTAATCCACAATATGGTGTTGGTCTTGATTATACATCTGTAGGAGCATTTCGTCGTCTTTATCCTCGTATGACTCAAGTATCGTCAATGCGATGTATGTACGACGCCATTGGTAAACATGATTGGTCTCCAGAATTAATGTGGGGTTACCTATTTACACATGTCAATATATGTCGCTACAATTGGGGTGCAACATCTGTTTATCAAGATCTTAAACAGATCTTATCGAATAAATCAATTGATTCATTTGTTGTAACAACAAATGCTGATGGAATGTTTGAACAAAATAAATTTGTAAGTTATCTTGAGTAACAACAAACTATCATCTGTTTTTCATATATATAGGATATGACTCGTTTTCTAAGTACACAAGGTGATTATTCCATTCTTCAATGTTTAAAACCATGTTCACGTCAATCTGTATATGATGCTCGTCCATTTATTGACCGTGGCTTACCTCATGTTGATCCACAAACAATGGAAGTACCATCGCAATATGTTCCAAAATGTCCAAACTGTGGTGGACGAATGTTTTTCTGTGTACGCGGTGGTAATTGGTTCATTGAATCAGCTTTTGATGCTCAACGAAAGCGTTATCATGATTTTATTCATCGAGCAATTCATAAAAAAACTGAACTATTTACAATTATTGAAATTGGTGTAGGTTTTAATACACCAAGTGTACTTCGTTGGCCTATGGATCAATTAGTTAGTGAGTTTCCAAATGTACGACTTATTCGTATAAATATGCATGCACCCGATGTACCTGATCATGCTCGAAAAGAAAAGCGAGCAATTGGATTTGATGGAGATGCAGCAAAAATTATTGAACAATTGAAAATTATAAGTACATCATGAAATATGTAGAAAATGATGATTATTTATATTTTAAATAAAAAAAAACATATCAGCACAAATCTGACATTAATCTTATAAACAATGATTTATTCTTTGAAAGAAAATCTATTAATAATAAATGACAATTGAGCTTTTGTTTTATGTTTATTAATTAAGAATTTCAAGTATTATTTATAACATAAATTACAGAACTTTCTCATAAATAGTTTGTACAAGGATTATTTTGTTATTACATTTGGATAATGATAATTGAATATCATTCTAAGCTTGTTTCCTTGGCTCAAGGATGTATGATGCATTGAGTATATCGTACTATATTTTATCTTAGCTATAAAAAAAAAGAAGAAAGAATAAATTAGAACTACAGAAAAATATATTTTCTATATCGATGGGTTATTTGAGTTAGTTGGACGCACTTTCATATCATTTTCTTTTTAGACTTTCCCTTTGCTTCAGTACATAATAAATATATATATTATTCGGTTCAGATTACGTGATCAACAACAAATGGTGTCATAATTATTGTAGCTAAAAAGTATTCTTTCTCTATCTCTCTCTCTCTTACCATCTCTTTCTTTTATATTCATTTACTTGTTGTCAAATAATCGTCATTTGTGGCATATAAATTGCACAGTAGTTTATTCTGTATGATCATCATCATTGCAACTATATAAATTATATCGCCTATTGTCAATCAATTTTCTTAACAATGCCAGCGTTCGGTATGGATATTGCTCTTCATCGAAAGGTAATGAAATGATGCATGTTTGTTATATTTGATGCATGACAGAAATTGATTATATTCGAAGAAATGAATAGATTTATCTTATCTTGATTCTCGAAAGAATTCGAAATATTTGAATATTAAGGAAAATGATTGTTGTTTATTTTATTATCATATATAGATTTAGTATGATATCGTTGAATGTTATTCATCATTGTTGACGAAGATTAATAATACATTTTCCTAATAACTGCCTACGCATGTGTATATTCACCAAAAGTGTACTATTACGAATGACATTCGAGTATCTGATTAGAAGAAGAAAATAGTAGACGCCGTATCGTCCTTATACACGCCTACATGATGATGACTAATATCTTAGAAAGTTTGTACATTGAGAAATGATAGATTTCTTTATGTTTGTATTAAGAAAATGTCTGTTGATATGTTTCTGTTTCTTTATTTTTTTTTCTTGCTTTCTGTTCGAATATGTGTTGTACAAGTTGCTCTAGAATAATCTCTTCATTACTGTACGTTCACAGTAACATCTATAAGAAGAAAAATATTATTCATACAGACTTCTACTGATAATTTTCTCTCCCCTTTTTTCTCTCTCTCTCTCTCTATGATTGTCGAACTGTTAGTATAAATACATAGTCGCAGTCTATGTTATTCTCATTTTATCTTTGGTGGTGATTCGGTATTATTACTATATACAATCAGTTAAGACTATGTCTCACGTTGGACCTTCATATGGATCATTGGCTGCTAATCAAGCAAAGGTGATATACACAGACAAATACATTATTCTTATTCTTGCAGATATTACTTAATAACTCTTCTCTAGTTGAACATCAAGTGGAAGAATAGTGTATTATTATTATTATTATTAGACGATGAGAATAATGATGTTTATAAATCGATGCATGGACTTAATAGATAGTGAGATAGACTAGTAATACACTATAAGATCAATATCATAATGAAGTCAATCCCTAGGATACGCATAAATAAATCTTTCTGTCTATTGATTTCTTTTATTTTTCTCCTTGGATTATGTCTGTGTCTGATACATGATTGTTTAGATCGCAGCAAAACGTGATCCTAACCTTGATCGAGAAGCACAAGAATGGATAGAAGCTGTAATCGGAGAAAATTTTCCGAGTGGTTCCTATGAAGATGCACTCAAGGATGGTGTCATCTTATGCAAGTATGTTTTCATCATATTTCATCATCATCATAATGTCTATAAAAATAAATTAATAGATTAATAAACAAACTTCAACCAGGTGCTATCCCAAAATATGCGACATCAGGTGGAGCATTTAAATTACGCGAAAATATATCAGTTTTTCGTAAGTGATTATTTGTTAAGTTTAATTATTTTTTGCAAAAAATCATCTTCATAGAAAACGCTGCTCGTAAATATGGTCTAGGTGATGCTGAACTCTTTCAAACTATTGATCTTTTTGAAAAACATAATATTCCTCAAGTAACTCAGTGTATATTTGCACTTGGTCGAACTGTGAGTGATTCTTTTGTTGAAATCGTAATGATGTATTTGCATGGTTGTTTTCTTTTTTTTATTCTTCAGGCACAGAAAAAGAAATTTAATGGACCAACATTAGGTCCAAAAATGTCTGACAGTAATGTACGCGAATTTACTGAAGATCAATTACGTGCTGGACAAAGTTCACTCGGCTTACTCAATGAAGGCATGAGTAAAGGTGCGAATCAATCTGGCCAAAATTTTGGTCTTTCACGTCATATATAAATAATAAAACAATAATAATAATAATCTAGGATGCGATTATTTTCAGATGCTTTTTGTACTTCTTTTAATAATTTAACCATTTTTTTTGAATAAAAAAAAATCTAACTGGTGGCGGTACTAATAAATGAAATTTGCATATAAATTAGAGTTTGTTTTTGTATTTAAAATAATGTGACGGATTGTCTTGAAAAATAGTGCTGAAATGAGGAAAATTCTAATAAAAATGCATGATAATTGAGACGATTTCAACATGAAGAGACACAGTATCTGTGTATTATCTCATTGTTTAAAATACATCTAAGTAGCATGTACATCTCTTAATATCTTTCGTCGGGAAATTCTTGACTATACCTATGCTTCAGCAATCCGTCACAATATTTTCAAGAAGAAAAAAACTGTGACTATCATTAAATTTGATTTCAAAAAGTATTCTACTAGTTAATATGAATAGTCTATTTATTATAGGTATTCAAATAGAAACTAGCAATGTTACTTCATTATCTAATCATGAAATTCAAACTGATAAAGTAAATTTTTTTGTTATTGTTGGTATTCTATAGATTCATTTATTTTACAATCTTTTAGCCGCAATTTACAGAAATACCTAGTAGACGATTGGCTCGTAGTGAGACTGCATCAGCATCATCAGAAGTGTCAGACAATTCAATTTTAATGGATGATTCTCGACGATCTTCTAGTCGTCAACGTCAATCACAACAACGTACCTTAAGTATTTCTTCTATTACTAATCTTATTGCCAATCTACAAAATATACAATTACCACCGACATCATCATCATCATCATCGTCTGTACAATCATTTATGGATGAACAAGACGATGAAAATGATAATAATCTTCAAATACTTATTGATCTTGCACGAGATACTGATTCAACACAAACAGATAAAATTAATCGTCTTCATTCATTAATTGAAGATTCTATTGGAATGGTTGAATTTCTTAGTTTATTACGTTTTATTAAATCATCACCTACTCAAATAAACATTAATGAACCTCCTCTTAATCTTTATTCATCTATTTTACCTGCTCTTATTGCATTACTCTTACTTGAAAATGATATTTAACTAACACTCATATATATATATATATTTATCTATTCAATAAATAACTAAACCAGCTAAAATATTCTTCAAAAAAAAAGAAAAGAATTGATTACATCATTTACTTATGTCATAAACAGATGTCTTGAGAAACGTTCTATATAGATGAGTATAGTTGACGTAATTGTTTATAGCAACAATAGATGATAATAGTAATGATTATTACTGTTCATGATAATAATCGATGTTATATTACGTGTAACATGATCAAGATAATGAAAGTTGTTTCAGTACAATGTCTTTATTCGATATTATCAATAATCTATGATTGTAAAACGTTTTTAGTTGTTTTTCATAAGAACTGACTGACAAGAAATAACGCAATATTTACTGTAAATCAATCCGCGTAGGAAGGAATAAAAATATATCTGTCAACGTTTTTACTCATATCATGCCTAATTATTAGATATAGTAACTTTTTTTTCCTATTTATATAAAATTTTTATATTATTAATAAATCTATCATGTTTCTTCATGATTTTAAGTATTATTCACGTAAATATGAAGTTATACATTTTTCTAACGAAGAAAATCTGACTTATTTTCTTGAAGTAATCAATATTATCCTTGCGTTGTTTTTCTTTTCTTTTACGTCGTTCTTTTCTTACTACGCCTACTAACGTATATATATCTTGGTGATAATATTCAGATAATTATTCAATAGCACTCGTCGAGGTTGTTTTGTTAGTTTGATACTATAAGTTTTATATATATATATAGCGGTTTGCAAAATAATTATTTACAGGTTTAGATATATCTTATTTGACTGACAACAACTAAGCGACGCTAGTTCGTAGAAATGCCAACCGTATCGTGCTTTTTATATTAAACTTATATAGAAACAAATTAGTCAGTTATAGACATCAGTAGGATATTACAATCACAATCCGTTAGTATAAATATATATATTTTTGTATTCTTTATCAATGAGTAAATAAGTACAATAGAAACTATTCTTAAATTAGACAATAGTATAAGCATTAGTTGTTTGATCTAACCCAGCAGTAGAGATAAACAAGTAGCTAACACATCTACATTCCATTATCGAAAGACCACCAAAAATACCATCATTGATATTTGTACACGAACACATAGGATAGTTGTTTGTACTATATCCACCATATTTTTCCTTGCAACCAACCATGAACTCAGCATTCTCATAAGATATTGACAAAAAAAAAGGTCTTCGCTTTTATCGCTCGTCATCGATTGTTTTTCTTTCTTGCTTTCCTTCTTTTTCTTCTTCTTCTATTCTCGTTCTTGTTTATCCATAATTCTATTTAATACTTGTCTGGTACTCGCGTATATACATACTGTGATTGTGTTTAGATGTCAGGAGGAAAACGTAATCCAGAACTCGATAAAGAAGCTCAACAATGGATTGAAGCTGTTATTGGAGAAAAATTTCCGGGTGGTTCTTATGATGATGCAATTAAAGATGGTATTCTTTTATGCAAGTATGTTTCTATGATTATTTATATTAGAAAGTAAATACAATATTGAAATCATAGATTGATAAATAAACTTCAACCAGGTTCTGTCGCAAAAATTGCTACATCAGGCGGTGGATTTAAATTACGTGAAAACGTTTCGGCTTTTCGTATGTGATTAAATTAAATCTTTTTTTATTTTTCTTAACTAAATTAATATTGTATAGAAAATGCTGCTCGTAGTTATGGTTTACCTGATGCTGAATTATTTCAAACAGTAGATTGTTTTGAAAAACGAAATATAGCTCAAGTTACATCATGTATTCATGCACTTGGTCGACAAGTAAATACTATATATTATATAAATGAAAATTATATTCGAATTTTATGTTTTAGGCACAGAAAAAAAATTTTAGTGGACCAACATTAGGTCCAAAAATGTCCGACGCTAATGTACGTGAATTTACTGACGAACAACTACGTGCTGGACAAGGTATGGTTGGTTTACTTAATGATGGTATGAATAAAGGTGCAAGTCAAGCTGGTCAAAATATGGGTTTAACACGTCATATATAAAGACGAAACATTTTTTTTCTTTCTATTCTATAAACATAATCAATCATTAATCCAGTATTAATAGATATATTTGTACTTCTTTTAAAATAGAATGAATATTTGGTACTAAATATAATAATATTAAACTATAAATTAATTTTAAGAAGAAATAAGTAATGTCATAGTGATATTGAAAGTTCATACATATATTATTTATTTGGTCTTATATGATTTTTCTGCTGCTGTCATCCGTTATCAGAACTATAAGAAAGATTAATTATTTCATAAATTGTCTTGGGAATATTTATACTATTACTGAATATCTGCTTAGTTATAAACTGAATTTATTATAAAACAGAAATCGAGACTGTATAGTTTCTCATATGTATTTATTAAAGATCGAAAGTTTGTATTTATATAAGAAATCGTAGTAGTATCTGAAGGATTTATCTATGAAAAGCCTTCCTTTTCCATCTATTCGCACACAGCTTTTTGACCTTCGACACATACACATGATTTGATCGACAGTTTAGTTACAACAACTTATTCATGATACCGTAAACATTTGTCTTATTGTAAACAGTGTTTCATCTAGGTTTCGTAACTCGGATGGGCGGCGTCCACTGGATACAACACTGATTATAAAGGAATCTTTTGCAAAAATATTACCATCCTTCGTTTACCTTGAATTGATCGTACTCGTATACAATTTTCGTATTTATAATTATATTTTAGAAAAAAAAAGAAACAACAAACTTTTGAGGAATGTTTTTTTTTTATAGACAAATTAAAACAAAAAGAAATTCTTTTTTTACGATGAAGTAGAGTATTGATAATAAGGTGAAGAAAATGAATATGGTGATGAATATCGACTTGCAGCAGCAGCTGCTAATGAAAATGGATTTGTTGAAGGTGTTGATGCCATTGGTGTGTAAGTAAATGGATAAGTTGGAGTAAATCGTGAATAAGGTGATGTATATAAATTAGAATCATAAAAATGACTTTGAAATTGATTTTCATAGAAATCTGTAAATGAAGTTGTTGAATCAGGTATATCAACTGTATTATTTGCCGAGATAAGACGTGATGACGATATGGGTTCATCATCACCTGAACTCGATTTACATCGTTTTGATGATTCCGGTGTTGGATAAACATCATCTAGACAACGTTTCGCTGATTTCACATCTCTGAAAAAATAGTTTCATTAGAAATATTAATAAACTAATTTGCTTTTTCATACTTTCGATTAGCATGTCCATTATTCTCACGAAACCCTTTGGCAAACTATTAAAAAAAACAAAATAATTCGATTTCATTTCTTTCTTTTTTATTACTTACTGGATTATGATCTATTTTTAATCGTGTGACCTATAATAAAACAAAACAAGAATTTTGTATAAACTGAATATTTCATTTTTAAGTTTTTTTACATTTTCATTTTGATATGCAGTTACAGCAATAAATTGAGTTTCTGGAAAGACAAATATATTAACATTATCCAACGCTGTTAATGATAATTTATTATCAACATCGGATGAATTAAAAGTTTGAATGATATGAAGACGAGGAATATATTTATGCATTGAATTAAGTACAATCTATAAAGTTAAAATTTAATATTAGAAAAAACATAAAAATAAATAATAATTACATGTCCATTTTGATCAGCTGTATTATTTGTTAATTTTAATTTACTAAATGATAATGGTTGTTTCATTAATTGTGCGCCTGTTGAATTACTATCTGGATGAGGATAAAATCGACCCGGCACTAATATCAGAATATTTATCAATATGATTCATAGAAAAAAAGAATGATACACTTACTATGCGGTTCAGCTGCACCAGTAACCATCCATTGAGAATTATGATATTTATAACGATGATTATCTACAGGCACAACATCCATGTAAACAATATATTTACTTGCTGGATCAAGTCCGGTTAATGAAACTTTAAATGTTGGAAACATACGCCTAAAAATATTTATATAAATTAACTTGAATCCTTTCATCGAGTTCTATTTTCTGTCTAAAACAAGACTATATGTTTTTTTATTATTTACCGCTGAGACTCTTTACAACTACTATAGTTGTTTAATTCATTAATGATTAACGAGTGTGTATAACACATCTTTAAATAGACTGTCACACTTGTTCATTCATTATTTTGTATCGTTTCTTTTCTTACCTTCCAGTTTTTGTTATAATCATTTCTAAATTAAGGTCAGAGAAACGTTTCCATAATTCCATATTTTCAAGTTTAACATCAATATTTGGATCACTACGTTTTGTTGTATGTATAAATGTATAAGGTGATCGTGTTGAATCTATATAACAAAATATTATTTTTTCATAAAAAACACAAAAAAATCTTTACCAGTAAATGGAGACATTTCATCATAAAAATTAAAACCAAAACCATATGCTGATGTTGGCGCATGACCATACATAAATGGTACTGGTGCTTTATGATGATGATGTGAATATGACATATAGGAAGAATTATAAAGTCCAATACTATCATCTTCATTTGGATATAATGATTTATTTCCTTCATCTGATGAAGTCGAACAGATGGCAAGTGCTGAATCAGATGATGAAAGTTGATGTTGCATTGATGGTGTTATGTAGGATAACATATATATGATGTAATTCAAATTGATTCCGTTTATGTATCTAAATGTTCAAGTTAAAAAGAATTGATATAGGAAAAGAGAGAGAGAGTGCGAGAAAAATTTTCTCTTTTTTTTTCTTTTTATTCGTCCAATCGATCGATTCATCCAATAGAATTCTTTCAAAAATTGTCTTTTTTCTTCTTCAATAAACATTTAGACCATTTATATTTATTACAATTGCAACTCTCTATTACTTCGTTTTGTTTTTATGATGTGTGACTATAATCATTTATGAATAGAGAGAGAAACGGAGAGTCATTCAAGTTTCAGTATGACTTTGTGATGATGTGATCGAATCTCGAGAGAATATATTTAACTAGTGTGAACATCCCATTTCAGATATTAAATTCATTTGAAAATTTTTTTATTTTAAATATATAGACGTACAAGAAAGAAGAAGAGAAAAAAACACTTGTCTATCAAAAATAGGGTGTATTATAATTATTTGTTGGATAATATCCATATGCAGGAAAATTATTCATTGTCGATCGTGAAGTTGAATTCATATAAGGATTGTACATCATTGTTGATGAATCATTTGTGTAAGGATTATAAGGAAATTGATGATGAGGATATATAGGAGAAAAATTTAAATCTTGTTCATGATGATTTATGTATGTTGGTGTTGTTGAATCTGGAATAGTATGGTGTAATGGTGGTGATATTGAATCAGGTGATAATAATGATGAATCACTTTTACATAAACGAGAATGATGTTCTTCATATTTTGTTGATTTTTCTAATGGAAGACTTGATTGAAGACGTTTGAGAGATTTTGAACTATTCCTATAATAAATTCTATTAAAATACCCGTTTTATTATTAAATTTATATTTACTTTTTTCCATGTGTTGGTTCGCGAAAACCTTTTGCAAATGGATTATTATCAATTTTTAAATTTTTGATCTATTTAACAAAAACAAAACATAACCATCATTTTAAAATATATGAATAATGAAATTTACCTCATCATTTTGATAAGCAGTAACAGCAATAAATACTGTTTCATCAAATATAAATGTACTTAAAGGGCCTGTTCGCATTGAATAATCATCAGTTGCTTGAATAATATGTAAACGTATTATATATCGATGCATGGAATTTAAAAGAATCTAATCAACAAAATTATTATTTCAAATAATAAGAACAAAGAATATTTTACTTGATTAGGATTTTGCATTGGGTTATTTGTTATTTTAACTTTATTAAATTGAATCGATTGTTTCATCCATTGAGCGCCAGTTTGTGGACTATCTGGATGAACGAAATAACTGAAAAACAAAAAAAGTTAATTCGAAAAAAAAAGATTTTTTTTCTCTTACCGTCCATAGATATGTGGTTCTGCTTTACCGGAAATAATCCATGCAGATTCTTGATATTTATATCGATTATCATCAATAGGTACGATATCAAGTAAAACCATATATTTCATATTTGGATCAAGGTCACTAATAGAAGCACGAAATGTTGGAAATAATCGTCGACCAAGTCTAAACAATCAACAAATAATAACGACATAAAATAAAATATAAATTTTAACATACTTAGTTATAATCATTTCATTGCCTATCGCATAAAATCGTTTCCATAAATCTATACCTTCAAGTTTAACACATACTTTTGAATCAAGTTGTTCACGTTTTGTATCTAAAATAGACAAAAAATTCTATATTAAATTATTGAAATAAGTTTTATTTACCTGTACAACCAAAATAATTAATAGGATCTACATGTGGATTTGTTGTTGGATAGAATGAATTATACATATTAGCAGCAGCAGTAAATGCAGCCATAGAAGCATAAGCCGAGGAAGCAACAGCAGCATGTTGAAAAATATTATTATCACCGAGCATTTCTTATTTTGTTAGCGGTTTGTATTACTAATTTTATAGACTAACGTTTGTTTTTTTATTACGTTTATATTTCTTCTTTCGTTTATATGATTATCTACCAATCATATATAAGAGAATAATTCTACTCTAGATTTTTTCTTCTTCTTCTTCTCCTTCTTTTCAATGTGACAATATGTTTATATGTTAATATTTGTTAATACAATCAGACAGCTATCTATTTTACTTAATTTGTATGAGATGATTGTCTATATATTTAACTTGTCGATCTAATCATCAGTTGAATTAATATTGAATTATGCCAGCTGTATCTTTTACTTTCACCTTATTAAGTGTAAACAAGCTGGACATCGTCTAATTAACGATGAGCTCATTAAAATAGAAGAGAAGTGAGATCGTGAGAGTAATAGATAAAAAGTCTTTTTTTTTGCTTGTCAGAAAATGAATTAGTTTTTAAAAATTACAATCAATTGTAATCTATATCTTCTTCTTTTAACAATTGTCAGTTTGTTCTTTTACCACCTTTTAACTTGTCGCATGTTTAAGAAATAGAAAACAAGATTAAAAAGATGAGTCGATTTGACAGCATTATATAACAACCTGATGGTAATAATAAAACGATGATGCTTGTCTATTTACGCATATGGACTAATTTCTTTTCTTCGCTTTTCATAATCAGATGTTAGAGATATACAACAGAGTTTAGAAAAACGAATCAATAATGACCGATGAGAAAAACGTTGCAGGGCGTTTAGCTTGATCAGTCATTATTAAATAGATTATATCTGATGCGACCTTGTATAGATAAAGATCAACATATAATGATTCATTCTACACCTAATTATAGATGCTCGTTCGTTTTTGCTTTTTGTGCAATAAGTGTAATATTTTTAAAAAGTAAAATTCACAGAAATAAGTGCGAGTGTAAAAAGGTACAATGAATTTTGCAAAATTAAATTCAATGTGCTAAGAGAATTATTATGTTTAATTCAATTTGAAAAAAATAATAGTAAGAAAGAAGTTTGTTTTTCGTTTTTTTTTTTAATCAATTGATCAATATTGATGCCGCATCTTTCTCTTTGATAGATGTGTGTGTTGCTGAAATTGGAATCAACAAGTTGCTTGCTGCTTTAAGCTACCTTCACCTTGTTTTTTCTTCGATCAGTTACCGTTGTTGCTGTTTTTAACACTATATACTGCTTTGATCTTGTCGGGTATTAAAATTGCCGATAAAAAAAAAACTAAAAGTTTGAAAAATGTGTCAATTTAATCGTTCATTATATCACATAGAAGAAGAAAAATATATTTTTCTCATTGTATAGTTAAAGATTAATTTGCTTGTAATATTATATATTTTGCGCATAATTACATTCGCCATGTGCTCACTATTACTGGATTATGTGAAAATAGTAGATGAATGAGATTGATCTTTTTAAAACAGTCTAATTATGATCGGTTTATCACCTTCGAGTATAAAAAACGATTATTCGCATATTTGAAAAAGACTGATCTACTAGAAAAATAAATATGTTGTCAATCGATTTCGTTCTCGTATGTTACAGATCGATATATTTCTTTTACACCTAGAAATACGGCCTGAAGCTAGTGTATCATCGCTAAGAAAAATTCACGGATCGATAACTTATGATCGACCACCTACTGGTATTACTTGTTCAACTATATGAAAAACCATACATAACAAATGATTGACCGTTGCATATTACACATCAACTTGAGAGTAAACAATCAAGAAAATAAAATATGCATTTTCTTTTTCTTATTTTTTAACACCATATGCTATTTTCGCTATGTGCTTCTGAAAGTTGCCGTCTCATATATGTGCATTATGAGGTGTTGATATCAGTTGAATGACCGGTGTGTTAAGTCAAATGTCGATGGAAACATACTTCTTTCATCTTTAAACGTTTGACGGGCGAATATACATCGAAAAAAATTGTGTGAATAGATTTTACGCCTCACAAAAATAAAATATCGTTACAAAATCAAATTGAATCAATTCGCAACTACTGAGCTTATTCGTTATATGTACTTTTTTGTATCAGCTAAGTATAATCTTTAGTTGTATCACAGTTTATGAAACTAGATCAAAAGTGTGTATTGATATAACTATCAAAATATGCGGAAACTTCGGATTGTATCCGAGAGTCATGTGTACTGCAAAAAGTGTAGATGGAAATATCAGTATTTTTACAATAACTCAGGAATGGCAAGTACAATTAGGCTTGAATTTGAACTCGACCGAGATCTTGATGAGATTGAATTGTGTAGAAAATTTCGTTAGAATCTGCCTCTCCTTTCAAAAGTTATCGTGTATACGGATGAACGGCCGGACGGACACACTGAGCGATTCTAGTAGTATACTGACTTTTTGTGTACATCAAAAATAGATCTATTATAAACAAAATTTATTTCATTCATAATATAAACTAATATTTATTAACACAAGTAATGACATCTATGAAGATGCAAAAGAAATCAGCTATATAATAAAAATTACTTTGTTATTTCTCAACTTTAAATTTACGAACCAACAAATGAACGTTTTATCTTCAAGTTACTCATAAAAAATTAGATACAATTGACAAAACCTAATAGTACAGTTGATAAATTGGGTCAAAAGTAGTTATGAAACGTTATACATCTAACAAACACATGAACATGTAAATCTTTGATACATCTCAACTAATATTTTCCATTGTGAAAGATTAATAGTATTTTAATAAATATTCTTTTATTTATGATAATCAATTATTGTATAATTATGAAGTATTTATATCATCGTATTACTTGAATAAAGACGGGTTTGATTTTATTCTAAACATACACTTATAAAAATAATAAACAGTATTTGTCTCAGTAAAAAAGTCATAGTTTGACCTGGCAAGGTTATTACTGAAAAATAATATCTGAAATGCAAATAAATATCGAATCAAGGTTTTGATACATAGACGATGACTTGATTCTTCTAAATAAAATAAGTATGTTTGAGGTTTGCATAGGAATACTTAAGCCATATTCATCTAATTTTAATGGTTATGTCTGGCTACATATGGGAGATAGTTTTAAAGATTATAATTTTTACATTATTAAAAATATATCATCTTTAAGTGAAATACTTGAATGGAAAATCAATTTATTTAATATAAAGGATAAAAAAAGACAAAAAAAAAAAGAAAAATACATTAAACTTGACTAACAAGTAAAGTTGCTGAACGATGATGTTGCGTATAGTCAGATGGTTTCGGCTGTTGTTTTTGTTGAATGATCATTTGTTGACCTCGTAGTCTTGCTGCTTCTACTTGTTCTTGTGGAAAACGTTTAATAGATGGCATAGGTGCTGTTTTATCAGTATTCTTATTATTTTGTGAAGAAATCTCTTTCGCTAATTTTATTTCTTTACTCATTATTGGAAGTTTATAAAGATTTGTAACAGTTTTTCGTATTGCATCTCGGTATTGTGTTTCATTTGTTGGATATGAAGTTGAACGTAGAACAATATCATTTTCATCATCATCATCATCATCGTCGTCATCATCGTCCTCTTCCTCTACCTCATCATCATTATCATCAAATGTTGCCATCATTGTAGGTTGTTGATTTAATGGTAAACTCCAATTTTTAGGACGATTTCGGTAATAAATTTCTGATTGAAATATTCGAATTTTTTCATATGGTTTTTGATACATATTATCTGATAAACGTCGTGATGATTTTTCAACTAATGAACAATTACCATTTAAATCTGGTAATGATATAGCTGTTGCTGTTTGTACTGGAGTATTTTTGACTGTTAAACCATGATTTGTAATTGCTGTAAATTCTTGTTCTTTCTGTATTTTCTTAAAATTCCAATCAACTTTCGTTGTTAAATAAATCCATAATACAAGTATGAGTAAAACATGAATAATTTCAAAAATAAATGTAAGAAATAATAAATTTAAATGTGTTTGAATATAAAGTAAAAATATATCATGTACAAGTGGCATTTTACATGATGTATATAATAATAAAATAATAATTGCAATTAAACTTGGACAATAATTTGAACAACGATCATAACATGATGTTTTACAATTAAAATTTTCATGATATTTAAAACGATTGTAACCATAATAATAAAATGTTAATGATGATATATAAATAAGAAATTCAAGTAATAAATAAAGAAAAAATGTTGTATATGGTTGATGAACAAGTAAATAACCAATGTTTTGTGTTGATTCAATTGTATTAAAACAAATATTTTTTATTAATAATTGAAATGCACTATACATTAAACACCATTGTATAACATTAAGTGCAAGAGCAAATGAATAAATGATTGAAAATATTTTTGATATTGACCAAAATACATATGGTTCACGTAGAATACATATAAATGAAGCAAATAAAAAATTAAATAGACTTAAACGTGAATAAAAATCAATTGAAAATGATTGTGATAACGTTGTTATTGTTGTTGTATTTGATAGAGTTAAACGTTTTATAGAAGAAATTATTGGTGATGATAATGATGAGGATGATGATGACAATGATGGAGACCAATCGAAAAGTAGATCAAAATCAGTACGCCATAATAATGCTAAATTAATAAAATAAGATAATTATTTCAATTTCATAGTACACCAGTGACGAATCTAGGAGATCGGTTCCTCTCAGAAAACTAACAATACCTGGGGAGGGAATACGAATTTATCAAATGCTGCAAGCCGAAAAAACAGTTTTTCTAAACATTTGATCTTCCCCCTCCCCGAAAATTAATTCCTGGGTGCGTGCCTGTAATGCACTACGTTTATCTTGTGGGCTCTAGTGTGAACTGGAATATTCTGAACTGATGCATCCTCCTATTGGTTTGAAAGGGTTATGATCGATTTACTGTTTTTTTGACCTGTAATAGCAGTAGTAGATGAATGACTTTGAATCTGAAGTTTTCACATATCCTTCTTGAGATTATAGTTTTTCAAGAAACGACAGTCTTTTAAGATAAATTTTAATGTCATGCGAGAAGCAAACGTTTTTCTGAAAATTGTAGAATGCATTCATCTACTACTCACATGCTATGACAAATAAAAAGAAAGTATTAAATCGATCGTAATTCCTTCTCGGAGCAATAAGGAGACGAATCAACTTAGAGGTATTTCAGTACTCTCACTAGAGCTTAAAAGATAGAATTAGTCTCAATTCAAAAGCTTTTTATCACGTAGAGTAATTCCTCACTCTCAAGTATTTCCGAGCATCGTCATTCAGAATTTGGACCTAAATATAATTTCTATATTATATGAATTTAATCAAATACTCCAACTAATGTTGTGATGAAATAGGAATTTACTACATTCTTCAAAGAGACCTTGTAGTACAATATCAGTTTTGTTCAAACAATTGTATACATTAGTATTGATGGACTTCTTATATTACACTTTCTAGGACTTTCTGTCCTTAGATAAACAATTTATGCGATCGTCTACTCGTGCGTTATCTTAATCGTTTCGTCATTTTCCTTGATATCCGAAAAAAATGTCTGCTATATTTTTAAGTCTCCGAAGAATTCATTACCTGAATCTTTTAATCCAATCATAATTTGTTTAGCATCAATTAATACCGTTGATATAATAATAAGAAAACTCATAATTAAATGTAAAGTACTACTTAATGAAAAACAATGATGCCATAAACTAGTACATAATGATGTTTTAGAATTCTTCGAATTATTTTTATTGAAATCATGAATTGTTAATTGTTGATTATCATTTGATAAATTTTTTATTTTAAATAAAGCTGGATAAATAAAAATAAAAAGAAGAATAAGTGATGTTAATATACATATTTTTTGTATTAATAATTCATATTTTGGTGATGATGATGAAGATCTAGGCCATGGTAATTGATCATTAAAATAACAATATTTAATACCAAAATAGATTAGAATTAAATGAATTATTACAACAATTATTGTATACCAAATACGAGAAAGGCTAATAAATTTAGCTCGTACCATATCTTCACTGATTCAATAAGTTGACTGATAACATTGTTCCGATATATGCCCGCTTTTTTTCTCTTTCTCTTCTTCCTTTTTCCTCATATATATATATATATATTAATACTAGTGCATGCATCGACCAAGTGCACACATCTGGCTTGATCGTCCAGTCAATCGACCTATCCCTATTTTTTCTTTCTTTCTCAGATTATATTTCGCTCATCGTATACATACATTAGATAGACAGGATTATAAGCCGAACGATTGAGTGTAGACTAGCTAATTATATATCAGATTGATTGAATAATTGTGTTAGTCTAGAATGTGAATGTCCGAGAAATGAAGAACACGCTTTCCATATAGATTTGGTATATTTAGATACAAATAAAATCAAGATTAGATAGTTTTTCTTGATTATTTTAACCTTTGAAAATCTACTAGATATATAAAACAAAATATTTGATATTTAAATATCTAACTATGATATGAGACATCTTGATCCCTACGGGAAAAAAAATGATAACATTTGACATCAATATGTGTTTTGTTCAGTATATCTAACTAGTACATGAAATTGTACTTGACCTTTATATAAAAATAAATGATGAAACTACGTGACAGTTCAAGTATATTGATTCTCGTCTAATACAATGAATATGAATATTATCTTAGATGTTATAGAAAAAAAAAATGAAGGATTGTTTATTGTAACACTTGTTACTTGATAGGATACCTTATAAAGAAAAGTAGTCTGTCGTTTTACAAAGCAATATGTATAACATACAAGAAAAATAATCGATTAAAACATTTAGAAACTTTCATTTTATTTCTCTTGAATTTAAACATGGTGATTACATATTTCTTGTTATAACATAATATTTATTATAAACATGTTGATCAACTAAATGTGTAAGTGGTAATGGAAACAATATTAATGTTTCCTACTGAGAATTCCGACGGTTGATTGCTATCTGATAGTAGATAGAAACTAATTTTTTTTCTTCGTTTATTTTTATAGTATAATAATGAAGAGAAAAGGGAAATAGATGACTACATCCTTCTCCGTTCTTAATGAAATTTGAGTTTTCTAACTTCTACGATCATATGTGATCATCATTTATCAGTTTTAAGTGTGCGTAGTACATTGAAATATAAAACTTGCAAACTATTCTTGAGAATTTATAGGAAAAAAAAATCTGTGTATTATAAAAATAGTTTGTTGATTTTTATACCCATAGAATAATTTGTGTCTTTATTTTCGAATCAAATATTTTTTATTTCTAGTCAAAAAAAGCAAACAATGTCCCAACAATCTTATTCATTCCTTTGTCTTCGTTATGTTCTCGTTTGGTTATGCATTTCAATGGTTATTATTCAGGTAAGATTCTTCTTTTCCGCACTATGCATTAAATCTTGTTCATTCAGCTTACTCAAGCATTAAACGATGATGTATTCGTATCATCAAGTGAGGATAATACTAATCATCAGTTAGATCGTCGTAGTTCGAAAAAAGTTGCTCAAATGTTACAACAAATTTTACAACGTGGTGAAATGCAAGTTCAACCACAACGTATTCATGCATTTCTTAATCAACTTCATCGTCGTGAAACAAATGACTAAATATTAAAATCAATAAAAAAAAGAACATTCAATTCTTTATTTATTTTGTTCTAAAGAAAAGAGAAAGTTTTTTTTTTCATCAACATTACGAAGAAAAAAAAAAGAAAAATTAATTATATGTATATATTCTTCTTTCACAAATCTACATGGACAATAAGAAAAAGATTGTGAGGAAAATATTATTCGAAACTGAGTTTTTTTTTCAATTCAAAATTGAGCTTTTCTTTGTTTTTGTTTTCGATGTTGTCTAAAAAAAAATACACCCAGAGAAAAAGAGAAGCACAAGTATATAGCAAAACCAACACTTGTTCTTAAATGATCATAGAAAAAAAAAGAACTGCTAAGAGGCAAACACACAAATACATAGTAGCAAATATAAAAAAAAAAGAAAACAAAAATGAAAACGAAGAATTTGTGATATGATTAAGACAAGGCAAACATTATTGGATGTTCAATAAATGATATTTCATGGTGTTGTATCAACACATAAACTACACGATCGATCAATGCCCTAGAAAGAGAAATGAAAAAGAAAAAAATGAGATAATTAAATAAAAAGAGTAATTTTTAAAAGAGAAAATCAAACTAAGCAAGAAAAAGAGAGCATGAATTTAAGATGATAACCCACAGTATCATTGCTCGAATTGTTATTATGGGATGATTTCAGGAACACTTTCATGACTTCTGTCAAGGTCGGAAACATTCCACGATGTAGATATCTTTATATATATGTATATACATAGTCAGATAATATTATATTTCTTATGCAAAAAAAGGATAATAACATACTTTTGTTGGTGATGTTTGTGGATGTTCAGAACGTGATGGAGAATAATTTCGTGTTGATGATCGATAATTATTTGTACTAAAAAATATAAATTTCAATTAATAAAGAATTATTCTATAAATAATAAGTTGTTTTACGCTGAAACAGATGGCGTTACTCTGGGTGATGTACTACGATATCGTGAATCGTATTCAATATTTGATGTAAGATCAGTTAATTTTCGTAAATCTTGAGCTGCTTTTTCTCTGGAATTAAATTGTGAATTATATTTCATATTAATACATAAATTAAAACAAAATTTACCTTTCAAATCTTTCACTTGTTAGTTGTCGTTTAAGTCGATCATTATCCGATTCTAATCCAATAACTTGTGCTCTTAATGCTGCTATTTCTTTTCCTTGACTTTGTCTGAAGAAAAGAAAAAAAAGGATTCATCATTAAATATTATAAATAAAAATTCTTTTATTTTCATACATTTTAACATCAGTCATATTAGCACGTTCTTTTGCTAATTGTAAATCAGAATCTTTTTCTTGTGCTTGTACTTGTGATTGAAATTCTTTTTCTCTTGATGAACCAATAATTTCTTCTAAACTACGTACCATAGCTTTTTCATTATTTATTTGTGTATGTAACATATCGATTTCAAGTTTCATATCACTTATAGCTGCTTGTAATTGTTCATTTTCAATTTCTCTTCCAGTTAGTTCACGAATAATATGTTCTTTTTTATTTTCAACTGTTGAATTAAGATCACGAACATTGGATATTTCAGTTGCATAATTTTGTTTTTCAATTTGTAATCTTTTAATAATTTCTTCATTACGTTGTATTGAACGATTCATATTTGATAATTGAATTTCATATTCATGATTAACAGAAATATGCTAGAAAAAGTTAAATAAAAATAAAATACGTGAATAAAATTTGTCTTATTTAATACTTGTTGAAGTTCACGTTCAAGATAATCAGTACGTTCTGCTAATCGTTTCATATCAGCTGATTTTATATGTAATTCTTGTCTAAGATTAGCTGCTTGAGATTCGATATCGGCAAGTGTTAATTTTGCACGACTTAATTCATTTGTTGCTTCTCTATATTGTTCAAATAAAGATGTTCGATCATTTTCCTAGAAGAAAAAATTAGTTTAAAAATTCACATGTTTGTAAATTACCTTTTGTGATATAACATTTTCACATTTGGATACTTCTTTGATATATTCTTGGACTTGTAATTTCAGATTTTCTTTATCATCAATAGCATGTTCAAGTTCTTGATGAAGTGTCTAAAAAAAAGATATGAGATAATAGAAAAATATAAATTTCAACAAATGATACAATATAAAATAGTGACGCAACAAGGAATTTTTTGGAGAGGCTGTCATAGAAGATAAGCTGCTTTTCGGCTTGTGAGAAGAAATTAGTCCGTACTCACGTCTGTTTGGGTAACATAATCTCTTCATTGAGTGTATCACTAATCTATAAAGTAACTCTGCCTATTAATTGATTGAAACAGTTTTGGATGTTTAGGTAGTTATACAAAGATTTCTTTAGATATAAATAAAATCTCGAAGTTTGTAAAGTATGTTAAGAATTTTTCGATATGCTACTTTTTTGTTATCATCAATCATAAAGTCCACGTTCTTGATTTAATACTACTTCTTTCCACAGAATAATCAGAGATAAATGAATCCAGTGTTTTATCTAGCGAGTGGGCGACGCCCACCCAGAACTTTCATTTCACCCACCCGGCAGTTCGATTCGCATAGCCGAAAAAAGAAACCTGTATAAAATACTGAATGAATCCTATCTAACCATATTAAACTCTATGATTGCTTCGAATAGAAAAAAGTCAATGGACAGTTATTGTTTATTTGTCTTCCAATTAAAATCTCTAGATTTTTATCCTTATCTGAGATCATCTATTTTACAATCGATATTCTCTATGGTTATCAGTAATTTTCTATTCTACTAATATTAAAAACGATTATTTTTGAATAATTCTAAACTTACTTGATTTTCTCGTGTAACAGTTAGAAGATCATCTTGTAAGCGTTTATTATCTCGTACACCAAGATCAAGTTTACGACGATATTCATTTAATTCTTCAAGATTTCTATCAAGTTGCATTCTCATACTTGTTATTTCTTTTAATTTTTGTTTTGTATCATCTTTTGTACGACTAAAAATAATAAAATATAGAATTTTTTCTTCTTCTTCTTCGTCTTTCTCTTACTCTAGTGCAGCTTCTAATTCAGCTATCATCATACTAAGTTCTTCAATACGACGTGTTTTTGAATTAAGTTCTTGTATTAAATGTAAATTTTCTTCAGCTTTTAAATCAAGTTCACCACATAAACGATCTTTTTCTTTATCAAGTGTATGAACAGTTGAACGAACAACATGAAAATCATCCTTAATACCTTTATTCATTTCTTGTGTATCATCTAAATTAAAAATTTCTTATTGATTTAAAACAAAAATTTTAATCTTACAGAGTTTTTTCTCAAGTCGATGTGTTTTTTCTTCTTGTACTCTAAGTTCTTCTTTCTTTAAATTTAATTGTCGTTGATTTTCTTGTACAAGACGTTCAGCTTCTTCAGATAAAAATCTTAATTGTGATGATGTTGTTTTTTGATCATTTAATTCTTGATTTAATTGTGAAATTGTAAATAATTGTTCATCAACTTTACTTTCGTAATCTTTAATCTGTTCACGTAATAAATGATTTTGTTGAAGAATATCTTCACGATCATTGTCAAGCTTTAATAAAAAAAATCTCGATGAGAAATATATCTTCGAAAATTATATTTCATACTTTTCGTATTTCAATTTGAAGATCTTCAATGCGTTGTTCTAATCGTGCACGTTCAGTTAAATTTGTGTCAGTTGCAACCTAACATAAATTAATATAGAAAAAAATGAATATAATAAAGATAGAAAATTTTACTCGTAAACGTTCACGTATTGTATCACGTTCATTTGCACTTGTACGTGCTTCAATAAGAGCTACAAAAACGAAAATGTATAAGAAAATTTTTTTCTAAAAATAAAACTAACCAGCATCACGTTCACTTTCAACTTTACGTAAAATTGATTGAGCAGCAAGAGAAACTTTAGGTGTTTGAACACTTTGAAGAATATCATGACGAGCTCTTTGCAATTCTTCTTTTGCCTAAAATAAAATGTTTATTTTTATTCTTTATTTAATAGAATTTCTCATAACTAACTTGTTCGTAGAGTACACTTATATTATCTCGTTCATTAGTAAGAACTTTTATATTGCCTTGAATCTAAATAAATTCAATTGAATAAAAAAAAGAATTTGTTTTTATTATTTAATACCTCTCCCATATGGCGTTCAAATTTATTTAATAATAATTGTAAATCTTCTTTTTCTCGTATAACTTTAGCTAATTGAGGTTCATCCATATCCTAGAAAATATTAAATCGTATAAATATTTCTTGAAATTAATTAGAGTATCTACTGCAAAGATTAATAATATTTGATTTGTATTGAAAGAGATTTCGAAACTATATGTAAATGATGTATGTTATAATGTGTAATTTACGGGTAAGAAAATAAATTTCAAAATATGATTTATTGAAAAACAATATCAAATGTAAATTGTTTTAAAGTGATTGATTCAACAAATGGATGAAGTTTTTTTGGGATTCTCGAATTTCGTCATATATATAGAAATAGCTCCTGGTAACTATATTGAGAGGTTTAGACTATACTATGCTTATTCTGATTCTATTAGGTTAATTTCTCACATGCATTTTACACTAATCCTGTGTTATTAAAGTTGGCGGAAAACCACTGAAGTTTCGCCAACTGGCAAAGAGACAGTAAGTCTTTTTTTTTTGAATTATCAATTAAAAGAGTATTGAAGTGTGATGGTAGATATTTCAATCTGTTATTCTTACCAGATTATACGCCTGTTTAACTAACTAACTAACAAAATCAGAATAATTCTCTCAAAATAAACCATGATATATCCTATACTTATTTTCCTTTTTCTCTTTCGAGTCACGCATACTATTTAACTTTCTAATAATAGTAAAATGTTTTTTCCTTTGTACTAATAGCTTACTTTAGATGATCGTTTATGTTTATTAAGTTCTCTTCGAAAACGATCACGTTCTTCTTCAACATTTCTCAATTGATTTTCAAATGCAGTTAAATCCTTTTAAAATATAAAACATAAATTCTATAAAACAGGAAAAAATTAAATAGTCTTACTTTAGTTGGTGATGATCGATGTCGATTAATTCCACAAACAGTACAACGTGTCGGTGATGTACTGCCATTACTTCCTGATCGTCTACCAAGTTGCATAACGGGTGATGTTGCGATATCACGACGACCTGTTGTACGTGCACCAGGTGTTGGTGATAATGAACGACCACGTAAACGTGAAGCCGATGGTGATGATGATGATGATGCACCACGTAAACGTTCACTAAGTAATTTTTGTAAAGTTTCAGTTTCGGCTTTATACATATTACGTTCATCTTCAACATTTTTTAAATGAATATCAAGTCGAGCTGGAAGAGAAAGTTTTTTTGTTGATGAAGCACCAGATACTGTTGGTGTTGGAGCTTTCGTTGTACGACGACATTTTTGTAATTCTTGTAATAGATCTTTTTCTATATAATAAAACACAAAAAGATAAAATACATAAGATTTATTGATCTTTTTTTTACCATTAAGAACTAATTTTGAAACTTGTCGACTTAATTTAGCTTTATCCGCTTGTGTACGTTCGAGAAGTGTTTGTATACGAATAATTTCATTTTCACGTTCACCACATTGATTTCTTGCTGCTTCAAGTTCTTCAAGTAAGTTCTTTTTTTCCTTTAAAATATAAAAAAACAAGGAATTATCAACTCTATAGATGATAATTGGACAAAGGTTGCGCCCACAAGGTGTATTTATCAGGTTAAAGAGTGGCAAACTATTTTTCTGAGGTTGCGATTTTAACATAACCAATGAATATTTTTTATTGAAATTTTATAAATTTTTTTTCGATACTTGTCTTTATTGCCCTAAGGGAATAATGAAGAAATATTCTGCCTGTTTCTCTATGAGTGCAAAGGATTATTCAAAATTTTCATGAAAGCTTTTATATAAAATTCAATCCCTCAAAAATGTTACTAAAAATTACCTTTAACTTTATTGTATTATGTAAAATCAAAAAAGAACAGTTACGTATCATTCTGACTTAAATAATAAATTTTTAATCGTATGAAAATATTATCTCTAACTGAATGTCAATAAAATCTAGTTTGTTTTGAAAAAACAATCCTATTATCAAATATACAACTGTAATAAAACGTTTATCATACTCTTAAAAAATCAACAATAGATACTTATCGTATCTGACACATTATAAAACTTAAAAATGAAATACATACGGTGGCTAAACAAGCAACTTTAGTATCGAGTGATTGCATTTCTCGATGATTATATTGAATTTCAATCTTAAAAAATAGATAAATGATGAAATTCAAAAAAACGAAATATTTTTTTCTTGTACTTTAGCTTCATTTAATTCTCGATCAGCTGTTTCAACAGTAAAATCTTTGTCAGCTTGAACTTTTCGTGCAAGACGATCAATATCTTTAAGATCTCGAACTAGATCACTAGCTTTAAGACGTTCTTCAAATTGTTTATCTGATAATGTACGTTTAAGCTCAGTTACTTCTTGAAGACGTCGTTCTAATGCACGATTTGTTTCATGAAGAAAATCAATCTAAATATGTAAGATTTAAAAACAAAGTTTAAACTAAAAAATCTATTTGTTTACTTGTGCACTTTGATTAGCTATAACTTTATCATTACTTCTTAATCTTGATTCAAGAGAAAGAGTATCAGATGAACGACCACCATCAAGCACACGATGAAGTCGTTCAATTTCACGATCACGATTTTCAACCTATAAATCATAAAAATAAATCCAATTTTTCGAATAATATATATCATATCATATTTTAAAAGGTTTCTTTAAAAAAAATTTCTTTTTCTCATCTCATTTGTAAATAAATGATTTTTTTTGAGTACAAACCTTGTGAGTACTAGACGAACGGAGTGGATATGTTCCGTTCATACTCGTTTTTGATCTTGAAGAATGACGACTAGATGGATGAGAATAACGTGAAGGCAATGTCGATCTTGCTGTCGCTCTCATTAATGTCGAAACAGTATGATTATTGTGTAAATCAGTAATTGGACCATTACGTCGTGAGGAGTACATATCTCCTACTATGTCTAAATTTCTCCTTGTATATTTCTTTTGATGAATGTCAGATTCTCATTCGCAAAAATTTTCCTTAAGGGATCTATTGTGCGTCTTCTTCTTTCATTCACTTTCAATTTTTCTAGATATAAATGAAACAAAACAATTGAGAAGAGAGAGAGAGAGAAAGAGAGAGAAAAAAAATCAAATTGAAGTCGGTTTTTTTTTGTTTTCTTTTCTATTCACTAACAACATTATATACATAGAGATTTGTAGCATAAAAAAAACAGTGAAGTGAAAAAGCGAGTTATAATATGTTTGAAAAGAAATTGAGAGAAGAAAAAAAAATGAAATTGTTAAACAAAACAACATTTTCATTTTTAATAAAATAATATACTATGTGTGAATGCCTTTGCCACTATTATTCACGGAAGATGATGACCATGAAACACACAGAAAAATTGTGGCTTGCGGTGGCATAACAAAGAAAAAAATTGGTATGAATTACTCGATGAAAAAATGAATTTAAAGAATGTATTACTTTCGTAATCCACAAGATAAATCGATCTAGTTACTAAAGAATACTAAGCATCGAAAGGAAGTAACCAATTAGATACATAGAATGAAAAACAACAAAAAAAAAGAAATGAATGATGATTTAATTTCGTACAAAATGTCTGTGACTGAGATGGTAGTTAATAGAGAATTTCTGTTCTTTTAACTATGCACATTCAATCAAGATTTACAACTTTCTTTTGCACTTGAAACGAAAGACGAAAGTACAGAACGGTATATTGTTAAAAGAAGAGATTGGCTTCTCTCGTTCGCTTTTTTTTCTCCTTCTTTACTTCTCTCCAATATATATATATATACAATACTCGTCTCTCAGTCACTTGCGGTTTTCTCTCATTATAACAATCATCTAAAGCAAATAGTAAATTGTCATTAAATAATTTAGTTAAAAATCATCGATCATTTTCTTTGTTAATATTATATATATACAAAGAATGAATAAAATTGTTCTTTTCTTTCAAAAATGAAACTTATTAACTAAATCAAAATATTAAAAAAAAAAAGCTCCCATATTATTATAATAACAATTAACAGAACATAGCATTTTTTTTTCTTGTTGTTTTTTTCCTTGTTCAATGTTATATATGTTTACTTTTTGATTTCGTAATATGAATCGATATTGATCTAGTTTATCATTATTTACTTATGCTATCAATAAGACGCGAAAAAAAATTTTGTTGATAAAATATAAATACTTATTGTTATCATTACAAGACCAAACATAAATTTATCTTCAATGATATTATTTAACGACAAAAAAAAAATTTCTTTCTTATATTATCTTGTTATTCTTTCTTTGTCTCTTACCTGATATTTAAGATTAGCCATTTTTGTTTCAACTTCATCAACATATTGTTTTTGTTGTTGTAATTCTAATTCTAATTCAGCTATACGATCTTCAGTTACTTTAACAATATCAATAATATATGGATCATTAACATAGGGTAATTGTTGTGCTGATGTACGTTGTGTTGATGATGATGATTCAGGTAACATTTCATCGATATCTAGTCGTTGACGACGAAATGGAATTGTATGTTTATTTCCACCTTAAAAAAATCGAATTAGTTTTACCAAGAAAATATTTTTTTAATTTTACCCGGTGTTTGAACGACAGCTTGAAAATTTTTTTCTTGTAATTCTAAAATTTTATTATCTTTTTGACGAGATTCTTTTTCTAATGAACGTAATCGATGAATATATTGAGTATTTAAAAATCGTAAATCAGCATTTTCATGTTCTAATTTTCTTAATTGACTTTTAAAATCTAGAAAAAAATTTCATATTTAATAGAAGAAATAGAAAGTATTTAATTAAATACCTTTCACATGATGATCAAGTTGTTCACGGCATTTAATTAATTCTAAATGTAAATCATTATTTTCTTTCACAAGTCGAGCATTATCATTTTTATATGGATGTGCTGATGAAAGTGTTGTTGATGATTGTGATGATGGTAATGGTGCTGCTGATGGTTGAGAATGTGTTGGAGCATTCTAATCAAATATTATGAAATAAATTTGTGGCATAAAGAAAAAAAGTTTATCAATTTACTTCTTTAGCTTTTTTAAGTTCTTCAGTTGTTTGAATAAAAGCTTGAAAAAGTTTTTCAACTAATGGTAAGGATTCAATAGCTAGCGGCTGTTTAAAACCAAATTGATCAAGACGTTTTCTTAATGTTGTATATTTTTGTTCAGATAATGATGCCATGATCAATCAGATCCTTATCTTCCTTCTAGTTTATTTTGCTATTAGAAATCAGTCCGAATGGAATCCATATTTACTTATCTAAAGTAGAGCAAAAAAACAACCGTAGTTAGATTTTAAATCTTTTTTATTTCTTAACTAGTGGTTTATTTAGAGATAGGAGAATGAAACGAAATAAGCCAATGAAATTCTCTGGCAACCATGATTCATGTCGTTATCGTGGTAACGTTAGCTAAACATATAGACCTAGATGTAAATTATAAGTTAGAATATTCAACTATGAATTTAATTTGATAAAGTAATAAAACGGATGAAAATTAATATTATATTGTATGTTATATAATATTTTTTATTCAATAGATGTCTGTAAATGTCTTGTTCAGAAAGTACGTATGATGATTAAATTGTCACAGTTTATCCATAAAACAGAAATGTCCGTCGCGGTTGAAAGTTTGCCGCTGCCGCGCCGCACTGATAATCAAAGAAAGCTACTGGCGCACCGTGATGGTTTCTGAAAAAATCTGCTGCTACCGCGCCGCAATGAACATCTCTGCCATAAAATTAATCTAAATCAAATCAATAATTTAATCCATTTAAGACTGATTTTGAAGTTTATAATCAACGTTCTTCATCGGTGAATCGATCTTTCATTATTTAGTTGACTTTTCTGAATAATTTTTCTCTGACAAATGATATCCTTAACTGGTATCTACAATTAGAGATATCACACGACTTGAAAGAGTTTACCGATGTGGAATTATAAAACTGTATACAAACGTTTTTCTAGTATAGCGGAAAATAGCGATCTTTTGATTCCTGCCCACTGCTAACCCTTTAACGAGCGACTTTTAGATGAGCAAGTTTTGCCAATTTTTTTCGCATTGAATGATAGCTTTGATGCAGAATCTTGAGAGTGGGTGTGGGTTTTGCCATGTTATCTACACCCACACCCTCATAGATATATTTAATCTCTGCATTATCATAGTATTTTATATCAAAATGATTGTTCTTACTTCACTGTAACTCTATCATTGAAAAGAAAAAAAGTGGTATATATATATGTCCCACCGCCCGTTAAAGGGTTAAGGTCAATGCCTTTATTCTTTAACTAATTATTGTATGCCCGTGAATTTTGTCATAATTAAAACAATATATATATGAATTTTAAAATTGTAAGCTGGAATAGATATTTATTCATACAAATGACGATTTAAAGCAGAATGAAGATATATATCAAAGAAATGAGATAAGAGATACAGAACAATGAAAAAAACTGAATTCTAATGATGAGAAGAAAAGAACATGTTTGACTTTTTTTTAAAGAGTTTTGCATGCTTTTATAAAACATAAAAATGAGCTGAATTATGTTATAGAATAATGTCATAATTTAATTTATAAGATAAGATCACGAAGTTTGAAATCTTTCTTGTGATGTTTCATTGTTGAATTTTTTGGCGAAGCTGATTTAGCGAAACCAATACGATTATTTCCAAAATCAAATTCTGTATACCATGGTCCAATAAAAACATCACCGAGAATCCAAAGTGGACCAGCTGGTGGTGGAATATCAATACCAGCAAAACCTGATATACAAAGTGTTTTATTAAATTGACTGACAGTTAAAATGTATTGTGGTCCATCCAAATAAAAATCATTTCCATTTATTGTAAAATGAACACGTGGTAAATCTGGAACTTTTGCGCAATCAATCATATACTAAAAACAATAGGTAAATATTTTTAAAATAAAATTCCAAAATCATTTTTTTTGAAAACTTACTTCACCGCCAGGAATTGGAAAAGCACCTAATTTAGAATTAAGACTTGCTATTTCAGCTTTTGGACCAACTAAAAGACTTGTACCAGTATCAGCAATACTTAAATAGGAATAAGTTTAAATTTGATATAGAAAGAAAAAAACTTTGTTTTTCTCTTACGCTTGACAACCACCTTGACAATATTGATTTGTATCAAGTGATATTCCATCAAGTTTAAATTGCCAATAATCTTTACGAGTAACATCAACATATGTAAATTCTCCTTCATATAATTCTGGATCCGAACCACCTAGATACAAAAATATAATCTTTAAAATATTCTATCCTGAGAAAAAATAAATAGTCTTACCAAAAATAATTTCACCACCTCGTGGATTTTGCGGATCACTAAAATTAATAAAAAGTTTGAAATCTTTAAAATTCATCGAAATCTACCGATCAAGCCAAAAACTAAATGCGTTTTGTGGAACTAATTTTTGTTCCCACATATTATTAAATACTGGAAAAACACCATCGACAGCAATTGATGGATATGCAAGACCGAGAATTCCTTGAATTAAAAAAAAATTTCAATTATTATTAAAAATAACTATTTTTTTCCTACCATCAAATTTAGCTGTAACAAAAACAATTCCTGGTTGTTTAATAGCTTCGGCAAATCCTTGATTTTGAACCTTAGCATCTCCAATCTAAATCAAGTCAATACATAAATCATATAAATTAAAAATATTATTCTTACCGTAACGGTATCTACACTAACATAACCTTGAAGTGAACCAGTACCGTATTGAATCTATGGAATAAAGATTAGAAAATAAAATGTTATCTTCGTATTGTTTACTTTAAATTCTGTTCCGTTAGCTACATATGTTGATGATTTTGCACCATTATATTTTCTATGTAATTCTAAAGTGAGAAGTTCTAAGTATCTTTTAAATATGTGTATATAACTTACGACAAGCAATATCAAGAAGTGAGCAATGAACACTAAATTTTGTAAAAATAGGAATATTAATATTTTTTGGTTTATATTTCAAATATTAATCTACCTTGGTACCCAAAGATTCGATGAGCCAGTACTAAAAGAAAAAGGGTTTTTTTTCGCAATTTATAATATTGAATAAAACATACTCGAATACAACGCGAAATGTTTGTGCCGGTGTACCAATGCCAATATCACCATAGTATTGTGCCTAGAGGATTAAAAAACAAAATATTTTATTCGGATACAGAATGATTTGTAGTATTTTACATCCAAATAGTTTGTTAATCCTTCAGGAATTGGTCCACCAAGACCATATTTACGTTCAAATGCATTTAATTTATGTGATTCAACTGAAAAAAGTTGATCATGAACCGATTCAATATGATGTAATTTTACTCTATATTTTATTTTAAAATAAAAAAAATATATTCTTTCGTTAAATTAATATTACAAACCGATGAAGTTGAGCATCTATCCCAACGATAATTAAAACAATTGCAAGACACGAAAGGCCTCGCATGATTTAAGTTATATACGTATGTATCTATAAATAAAGTAGAAATGTTTGCGTATAATGAAAAGAAAAATGCACACATATGTGAATAGAGATAAGAGCATATTCATTATGTTTTTTTTCTACACCAGTCATCAGTGAAGCGATCGAGCGTTAGGGGAGACGTAAAATAAAAACAAAAGAAGAAGAAAAAGTACATAGTTAAGAATGACTCATCAAAATTAAAATGATTCATATCATGTTTCTATTTTTGCCTAATTAAAAAAACAAAGTAACTATATATTTCGTCTCTGATCATATAGAAAATAAAAAAATCATCTTAGCTCTACAAAATATAATCAGAAATAATCAGTGTTAATACTTGAAATCATAAGTTTATTTTGATGTTAAAAGCGTATTTTTCAAATGTGTATTGAGATGTAATTGTTCGATATTTTTTTGATTAACTTTGATCATTGATTGACGAATTTTTCTAGTTGAAAGAAATGCTAATGATACAGGATTTTGTTGATATTTTATTATTAATGTATCAAATAATTTTTGTAGGGTTGCTTGCGATGTTAACGAATTTTGAATCGGTGTTGTTAATATCTTCGAAAAATGCTTTGTTCGAATATCATTTATACTTTCTCTTGTTAAATATCCATAATGAAATGATAAAGCTAAAAGTTTTTTTATATTCATTATTGATGGACAATTGAGTGGATCATGATTTGTTTCAAAACAGAAACCAGGTATATAAATAATTTCAATGAATTTTTCAATAAATAGTGAACAATTCACACATGGAATATTATGTAAAAGTATTTGAATTAAACATAAGGTAAATGGATCAATATATGCTATTGAACGACGTTCTTTGAAAAAAGTTACAGCTATTTGAGAGAAAAAGTTTTCCAATGAATCTATTCTTTTTAATGCATCAAGTATAGCACCATATTTAAGAAGATCACTAGTAATTGGTAAACATCAATTGAAAAGTGCATTTTGTAGACCAGCATTTAACTCAACTTGTCCTTGATCAGAATAATTGAAAAGAAGGTAATCATGAAAGAAAGTATGCACTACTGGATCGTTTGATTCTAAAAAAATATAATTATATAGTTTTGATATTAATTCGATTTGTAAATATTCCGTTGCTATGAGAAATGTTTAGGTACAATACAATAATCAAAAATGGGATAAGAATTAACAAATAAATTCTGAAATTTAGAGATAAATGCATTCGAAAAACAAGACACAACATACCCATTCCACATAAACGTTTAAATGATGAAGCATCATTAATATCTTGTAATAGTGGATTTCCATCATTTGAATATATTCTAAACGTATTGTTGGAGAAAGATTATTTGATACAACAGCTATTGATAAAGGTGTTTTAAGATCAGATAATAAAGTATTTGGATTAAATCTAGATTTAAGTAATAATAGAAAAATATTTTCATAATAGCATTATGTAATAATGCACTCTTTTGTATTTCTTCATTAAATTTTATTTGTTGTAAATAATAAGGATTGTTAAGAAGAAGATTTTGATTATTATTCAATTGTTTTATCCAATAATTGATTTAATGTCGGTTTATGTAATGAATTTGAATAAATATTTAGAATTGATTCATAGATTGATAATGATGGATGATATTGTTTAAATAAAATGTTTAAAAGATCAAATGATTGATTAGAATTTTGAAAAAAAACATCTAATTCACTAGTGAAATCTTGTAAACGTTGATCAGCTAATGATAATGATTGTTTACGTTTATTCACATGAGTTTTTTTCATCATAAACATATTAATATTTCTTTTACACACTTTACTTATGAAGTAAAATAGTTCTATTGCAGTACTGACTGACGGAAGTGAGTCGTCATAGGTGAAAAAAAACAAATGTCTTACTCACTTAAGTGAAATACTATGCATCGATAAAGTTTTATTGAAAAGTATAATAGTAGAATATAGTACTAATTATTGCAGAGGAAACAAAATTTATTTTCATCGCCTAATCAGTTCGACAAAATATAACTTTGCGGACAGGCCTTTCGTCTTTTCTGAGTAGATATGAATATCAGGAACCTTTACACATTAAACTCATTTGTAGACCTGGAAACTTAATAATGGGCCTCAGCTTTTTTTATGACAACTGAATCCAAATCGAGATGTATATTTTTTTTCTTTGCAAAACATACGATTTACGAAATTTGCCAGCCTTTACACAAACTGTACCGCAAACAAAAAAAAACCTTCGACTATGTTACCTCTTCGGAGCCCTAGAAGTAGTTTTTAAGGTCTACAAATGAGTTCAGTACGAGTCCCGTTGAAATGATTTAAATCCTTTTTTACTATTATTTGTTTGAATTCGATACGCTTACCTAATATATCAAATGCGCAAATTTCTCGTGTCATCAATATATTAGACTTCTCTCTCTCAATAGAATACGATCTAAAAACAATAATAATCTATATTGTTTTATTATTCTATGAACTAAATTTCACAATAATCAATAAATATCATTAGGTATTTTTAAATTTCTTTATTTTTTATTTGATGGTACTTTTCTTTATTTAAAACAAGCATTTTCTTCTTTTACAATACAAAACAACAACAACGACATTAATCTTCTTGTTATCGCCATTGATATTTGTTTATAATTTAAGTTTTGTACGACGAAAATGACGACGTTTCGAATTATATCGAATTGTATTTCCTGTACGCATTCGAATCTAAAAATAATACAAAAATTCAAAAAGTTTTTATTTCAATAATTATTAAATTCAAATTTACCCATTGTGGTACAGGTCGATTTTGTTTTTGTTTTTTAGCAAGAACCTTTTTGATCTTAAGAGTTTTATGTGAAGCCATCTGAAAAAAAAATATAATATATAAATATTCATATATTTCATTTTTTTGTACAATGCTCTCAGGGAAAACTTGGTGATTAGTCAACATGAAATTTTCTGTTAACAAATTTATCATCTTCGAGCATGTAGTTTTATATATAATTATGATAACTCTCATAGGTTTATCACCCATTGGGGCCAATCATTCTTTTGCGGTCCGGTTCTATCGTCTGTTTCTTTTACAGACAGCGGTATCTGCACTCCTTCCGTCTAACGATGTATTCGAAACGTCTTAGCCGTTAGTAAATTGTTCAGGATTATTCCATGGATAGTGATACTAAGGTTTGAACCTAGTACCTTGCGGATACGTGTCAAACAATGTAACCACTAAACCACAGTAGCCTAGTTTTATATATATAAATATATAAAAATGAGTTTATAAAAAAATACATTATCCAATCCGTGGTTCAACTGTAACAATATTTTTTTCATTAACAAACAAACGAATTCGAGTTGGACAATAATCAAGTGTAACTGGTGAATTATCACGAAGTGTTTGAATAAGTTCGATATCTAATTTGAAAAGAAATAAAAAGAAATATATTTAATTAAATAATTAATTATTCTAACCAGACTCTTCTTTAATAATTTTCGTAGCATTATCTACATCTTTGCCTACTAATTCGGGCCATACACGTTTTACACTTGCAGACATTTGATTAATTGAAAAATATTCACAAAATTTATTGATTAATTTTAAATGTCCCTCAGTTTTATTTTCAAATCAATAAACATTCTACTTCTTATGACTTCAATTTTATTTAAACCAATCAATTTATTAAGTAAATAATATTTGTAGTAAATTATAAAAATCAAATAAATATTAAATATAATATTAAATTTAAAAATAAAAATTCTTTTTATAAATATTTATTCATATTTATTTTTATTATCATAATTCAATAGAGGTCACTATTATCTCTTGACATCACAATATCCTTCAAAGTTGTCATGCTGCATGACTAGGCTAAAGTCCGACTATTTATTTTGATATTATCATCGTACCAAAATATTTTTTAGAATAATAATAAACTATGACGACATCCGATCATCATCATCATCATGACGATATAAGCAATAATCATCATTCATATGATGATGCCAATTCACGCGATGCTGAAATAGATTCCGGTATTTACAAAAAATATATTCACGATGTTTATTATTTATTTTTTGCTTATCTAAATAGAATTAGGGGAATTAGAAACAGCTTTAAATGATATCGAAAAAGCAATGGATAAAATCGAATCACAAAATTCTAATATTCAAACAAAATTACGTGATTTACTTGAATCAAATAAACAAATGGCAAAAGAATTTACGGATATACGTCGTGGTATGACAAATAAATTTAAAGATGTAACGCACGAATTAGAACAAACACCAGGTACTGCACATGATTTAGCAGCTGTTACATCGAATACATTAAATAAAATTGAACAAGAAATGTCATCGACAAATGATAATCAGAATTTTAAATAAAACTTTTACTCTAGTATTATGCTTATTTTATTTCTTCCAATAATAGCGATTAAACAGAAAAACAAACACTAACACATTCCTCTACTCTATATGCATTTGGTTTTTTTTATGCAAATTCTTTACTCAGATAAATCTTTGTTGTTTTAGATTATGTCTTTATTAATACGAACAATATCTCGTATAACATCTCAACGTTTTACAAGTACAGTTGGAGCTCATCCACAAGGTACTCAAGATGATCCATCATTAACAGCAAATTTTATACCAGATTTTTCCTTTCCACAAGGACTACAAGGTGATATATCAGATGGTACTGGTAATGATGCTATTTGTCAATTATGGTTAGAAAAATGTAAACTTTATGGCTATGATAATTGCGAAGAACGATTACAAAAATTATTAGAATCACATACAATTAAAAAAAATTAAAATTACATCTCGATTGTAACTGCATATAGTTTTGATGAGTGATATTTTTTCGATAGAATTTAAAGTCAAGTAAATATTCCGTATATAGTATGTTCTAAATAATTATTAATCAAACATAATTTTTACTTTGTTTTTTGTTAAATAAAGATGTAAGAGTTAGTTATGAAATTTGTATTACAAATGATAATGTCCATATGGATATTATGTATTGTTAATATAACTATACTTTTGACTTTCTCAATAAAGACATATGGTATGAGTTCCTTGGACATAGTCAATGTTTATTTAAAAAACAATAACTATTCACCTTCGATGTTACAAGTGACATTCATTACATACTGGTTTTCGTGGTCCTTAGATCAATGACATAGATATGCTGCTCTTTTTTTGTTATATGAATGTGTGACAGACAATGGTATATGTAACTAAAAATAGAACAAATATATTCTGAGCAATTATATATATCAAGGCAATGTCTGGATGAATTCAATTTTTTGTCCTGTAATTATAAATATTATGAATAACATAAGACGATGAAATAAATTTATTTATGTTTAAAAACGAATGAATTGTATGAGTTATGAAATATAGATTTTATTATACATAAATAATATGTTCAAAATAGATTGATCAATTCTCAATGATTTATTATTTACGCATTGATTTATATTTATGCATCATTGATCAGTCAATAATAGCATATTGAACAATTGAATCAACGCTATTCTTTTGAAAATATAACACGAACATTTTAATATATCTTGATAAAAAACAGACAAGTAACAAGTGAAGAGATGAATTGGGATTACTAAAACTTAACTTTACAATGTCAAGAAAATGATCAACACACAGTATCTTGTCATTTAATAAATAAATTTATTGGTACTATTTTTATTAATTAAAAGATTTTGAACATAAATTCATAATTAAAACGTTGATGTACTTATCAATACTACAGTGATAGAAATCATCGTACAGTACAAGCAAAATGCTAATAATTCTATATGGATTCTCCGAAGAATCGAACTATTGTTTAAATCCGTAGCTCATTAAAAAGTGAGTTGATAAATGAAGATATCAGTTTCGTTCATAATAGAATCTATCGAAAATTAAAATTTAAAGATTCATCTCGTGTGTACTTAAGCTTGTGAAGAAACTAGATTTGGTTACTTTAATGATATCGTGATTTTTTTCTCTCTCTCTCTCTTTCTAATTCTCACAATTATTCGTTAGTTCAATAAATATTTTATATGACACCATCTTTTTATCGATCTAACTTATGCAAAAATTATAGAAGATATACAAAGAACAAGTACCTATTATATAAAATATTTATGAACATACGAACAAAAAGTTAATAAATAACCTTGAAATATGTAAATACTTAAATTTAGATATGTAAATTCTTTCATTATTCATTTAAGGTCAGTTTATTTCATTTTTATAAACTTCACTTATATTTTTTCTATCATCCGTAAAATTTCTATTGAGATAAATTGATTTCATATAATTCGTTTTGACATTGTTCACAAATTTTTATATAAAAAAATTTCGTATTACTAAATAAATTGAAGTACATGTTAAGCACTGTATAGTGCTCTCGAAATGTTTCTGTTGTTTCTTTCTTAAAAATTTAATTACATGTTGAATGTCAATCCAATTGATTTAAAGATTCGTATTCATCTGATATAATTCTTTTATGTACACTTTCAATTCTTTACATTGAACAATAAAAAAAAAATGTCAATGTAGTTCATGTATTGACCTATTATTTATCTTCTTCTTTTATCAATGACATACGTCAATATGACATCTTACAATTACATCAAAAATCAGTTATGTGTTTATCTTTGTTTTCCGTTAGAAACAAATAATTGAAGATAATCAAATATTACATGAAGAAAAAAAAAGGTGAAATAAATGCGTAGGTTTTTTTATATACATATACTTGACAAATTCGATTATCGTTCATTTATTGACTGACATTTAATATGCCTCATTGCATTGTCTGGTCATCTTTCATTTTCTTTTGCTATATCATTCTTCAGGTTAGAAGCTTATGCAAATGAGCCTTGAACTTCCTTTTAATTCAAATGGATTTAGGCGACAAAGCATACGAATAATACTTGTAATATTCTGATGATGCAATCTTATAGAATAACTAAAAGCAATGACGCCAAACTAAATCTCAATTGACACCTCGCGATGATGAGAAGAAATGAGAGAGAGAGAAAGAAAGAATGAAAGAAAAAACGAAAGAAGAAATTTATTTCGATGGTATAGGATGTATTTTTTCATTATTACCAGAGAAATACAAAATTTCATCATTTAACTGATTCTTATTTTACTACATATACATATACATATGTATATGTACGTACAATATTTACACAAATTACATCCAATATTTTTTCTCCTTCCTTCTCCATTTTTTTTCTTTTATCAATGAACAAAAAGTCGGTAGGTTGGCGTCCTCGAGAAATAAGATCCTGCCTATAGCGATGTCAACAATCGTGTTCCTTTTGCTAATATGTATGTATGTGTGTATTTATGTGAATAATTATTATCAGGTTCTTTTTTTTTTATTTTTTTTTCTATAGATGATCATCAATTTTTATAATAGCCAAGAATAAAATACACATATTCATATAACTACCAGATAAACTTATATATATATATATATTCTACGTTTTATAAGCCTGAAAAAATAGAAGCTTGTTATCGTTCATAGTACGTATCTTATATAATTCCACACTAGGGTGATTACTTTTTTTCGTTATTCTATTCAATATAACTTCTAGGTAATCTATATCATTTTTCCTTTTTTATCTAAATTGGTTTTATCTTTCGCTTTTGATGAATAGTAACTGACCACATCTAATGACCAAATTACTATACTTATAGGAGAAAGTTTCATCTTGCTGAAAGAGAAAGTCATCATTCAAATTATATGTATGTTGTTCATTGAGCTGCAGATTTCTTTTTTTGATATGTACATTCGTAATTGAATTGGCTCATTAGATAGATATATAGACATACATGCATGTGTGATGTAATTTGAAAATAGTTATTAATTAGAAAAAAAAATTGAATTTATTTTATTGTATATTTGATCATATTCTTTTGAAGATGACCATTTGAAACGAAATAATTACTCATGCGATTCACATTATTGAACGATATATTTCTAAGATAAGTACAACGCGGCTGAAGATTGATCGTAAATGATAAATTTTTATAGTACTAGTAAGACAAATTATTCATGTTCGATTGAATGACAAGAGAGAGAGTAAGAGAGAGAGAAAGAGTTTATAAATGTATATATATATATGTATATACAACCAATTATATTTTCTAATAGTAGCAGTTATCATTGTTTTATTTTATCAAAGTTCAATTGTCACAACAAATAAAATTAAATGAAGCGTAGAGAATGGCAATGTAATGATAAAATGAAACGATTCAATTAAAGATATTTAATTTTGATATAAAGATATTACATCATTTAGTTATTTTTGTATATTTTAAAATCATCTATGTCATCTTTTTTCTTTTTATTCAATGAATATAAGTTTGTTCAATATCTTTATCCATATTTACTCATCGGTAAACAAATCACACCTATACTGTTTGAATATTTGCATAACACCTGAAAGGTTTCATCATCAGTTGTTATTCATATTCAAACATCCTGTGATATGTAAGCTAACGATTGAAATTAATTGTTTCGGTCATTATAAAAAAGTCAACTAAACGTGCGACATTGATCATTTTCACTTTCACTTCTTAATCGTTTGATTGTCACGTTCAATGATTGAACTTTCTGATAGTTTTCTTCACGCATTTTCTACATATCTATCTATCCATTGAAATAGATTTGATCATCGTAAAATAACAATAACAACGGAAAAAAGATAGATACGTGACAAAAAGCTATATTCATGTTTCGATAAAGATATACATTTATTTCCTTCATCGTAAAGTGAATAAAAGATTGCCAAGGTTGATTTCATTTTGAAGAGGATAACACTATTGCATGTTTGCTATCGTTATATTACTCCCACTTTTCGAAAGAAATAAGAGAGCGCGCGCGCGAAAGAGAGAGAGTGCGAGAAAAAAAATGTTCTTTTCTCTTTCTCTGTACAAGTTTTTTTTTGCTTCTTCTCATTTCCTTTCTTCTTCTTTTTTTTTAAACATTAGATTTTCAATTGCACGTGTATGTATTCTGTTAATCATATAGTTTTCTTTTTTTATTTCATTGAACATGTTGATGGTAAAGTTAAAAAGATATGACATTGAAAAAAGTAGTTGAATACACAACTAAACATTAATCCATTTAGTTTTTAAAAGAATAAGTTGTTCTGTTAAAAAAATTTATTTACATGATCTTGTTTACAGAGAATCTTTCTTCTCTCTTTCAATTTTAGTCAATAATCAGTAGTTGAACTTTTCAGTATAATTCATGTTTACATAAATTACCCTTCAAGAATTCATACCATGCACGAAAAAAAAAACTGAGAGAAAAAAGAAAAGGTGTATTACGTCCACACGTATGAAGTATAGACACACTTGAAACGATTCACTGTATTTGAAGTGATGGTAAAGAAGTAAAAGAGAATAAGTTCGATTTTCTTCTATTGCTGTTACTGCTGGTGGGAGCGACGAAAGTCGCATCCTGTATATGCGTAATCATATGAACATAACTTAGACAAAAGAAAGGCAGACTGAACTATAAATATGTATGATTTTAAACAATAGAATAAAGGTGAGTGGCATTCGTCAAAAGAAAAATTATTATAGGCATATCCATCGTATTCATTGTATTAAAATAGTCAAAAAAAAATAAAGAAGAAGAAGAATGTATTCATATGTTAACTATTTCTTTTTTTTTGATTTAGATTGATTGGGTATTCTAATTGATGATCATTTATTTCTTGAACGATGAGTACTCTCATCATCAACGACATCCGTCTTATGCTACTACTTTTATTTCTAACGATTATCATAACTCAGACACAAGGTATAGTTTTTCGTCTACTTAGACATAAAGAATGAATCTATAATCATATCATATGTATAAGAATTAGGCTTAATTTGTATTCATGCGATTATTGTTATGAAAATGAATGAAGAACGATAAAATATATGAGCAAATAGAAGACTAGAATAGACATAAGAAACTAGTTGCGTGACTTAATATTTTAATTAAATCTCTAAATACATTTTAATAAAATAAAAAGCCTTTTAATGGTTTCTTAAAAACGAATAAAAAATATTTAATTAAGGTCAACCATGTACACTTCAATTTCTTCCTGCACTTCAAATCATAACAATGCCCGAAGATACTAAAACAGGAGATCTTGTTGCTCGTCTTCAAATAACTGGAACAACATCAGAAATATCAACTCGATTAGTTTATAATAGTTCAGAAGTGAAAACAAATGGAACAGATTATTTTACATTAAATTTTACAAGTCTTTATTTACGTTCATGTAAGTTTTTACTTGATCATATATAGGAAATAGAGAAGAAAAAATATCAATTCTTCTTAGCTCTTGATTATGAATGGTGGTCATCAAATAATTATCCAAATCCATTTCGTTTTATTGTTGAATGTACAGTTTTATCTGATCAATCAACTCGTTATATTGATTTTCAACTTGATTTAATTGATGTTAATGATAATCCACCAATATTTAATCAATCAATATATCAAATAAATATAACTGAAACAACACCAGTTAATACAATTGTATCAACAACAATATCCGCATATGATTTAGATTCTGGTGTATTTGGATTATTTTCATATTATTTATTAAATACTTCATCTCCGTACAGTGTAAATAGATAACTTTTAAAAAACAAAGAACTTGAAATAAAACTTATTTTTTTCATATTAGTCTTATTTCCAATTAGTAAGTCCAAAAAATGCTAGTTTACTTCTACTTAAACCACTTGATTATAATTCGATGACACCAAATTTTAATCTAACAATTTCTGCACAAGTAAAAGATTTCATATTTTACTTTTTGAATATAACTTGTGTTGATTATAGGATGATGCAAATTCTTCACTTAGTTCTCAAGCAATTCTTTCTATACATATTATTGATGTTGATACATTAAATCCAGCATTTCTCTCCACATCATATAATCTTAATATTTCAATAAATACAACTGCTGTATGTTTTAGAAAAAAAATATTTTTATTTTAAAAAATATTATTTTTTTTTCAAACTAAGGGTTCGGAAGTCATACCGACACAAGGACGAATATTTGCATATGATCAAGATTTGGGCATTAATGCAACAGTTATTTATTCTATATTAACATCAAGTAAAATCATATAAAAAAACAAAAAAACAAAACTTTTTCTATTTTCTATAGATCCTTACTTATCAATCAATAATTTTACTGGTGTTTTAACTCTACAAAGAGAGTTTAATACAACAATGCTATTCGATCTTTTAATTAAAGTAAAGAATTATTTTTTTATTAGAAAATATTCAATTTTTTTTAATTTAAAAACAATAGGCTGAACAATTAGATAATTATAATCGATCAGTAACAACCATTTTACAGGTCAATGTATATGAAATCAATTTATACCCTCCAACTTTTGTTAATTTACCATATACAATGATTGGTTATACATCATATAATATTGACCAAATACCAGTATTCAATGGAAGTATTAGTGATAATGATACGGTAAATAACATCTATTCGAATAAAATAAAATATTGTGTATTCAAATTTATTTAGGCACCAAGAGAAAACTATGGTTATTCATGTGATTCTTCATTACTTTATTTAAATATAAAGAAAACTAGGTAAATAAAAACGAATTTTATTTTTTTGATAATAATATTCATATAAATAGTCTTCGCACTTTTCAAATTCGACCAATTTATTTCCAAACTCTTCCCGTATGTCAACCTTGTCTTTGTACTCTCAATGTATCCGATGGGCTTTATGTAAGTATTGAAATTCTTTTTTTTTGTAAATTAATATTATCTCGGGAATATTTAGTCATCCCAAACAACACTTGTCGTACTTCTATATACACCAATTTCATTTGTATTAAATTCTTATTTTTTCTCCGCTGATTATCCACTTAGTGATCCATCAATTATCATTGGTTATGTTCAGGTATAAAACGTTTTTAATAAAAAGTAAAATTTTCTATATAATTAATTCATCTAATAGATTGTCACTGATAATCATTGTTCAGTGCAATATTTTCTTAGTGGTAATTCAAGTTCTTTATTTACTATTTCTCAATTTGGTAATTTAACATGGTCAAATCCATCCATTTCACCAACACAAGAAATATATCAATTAGAAGTTCTCATTCGACAAAATTGTTCATCATTAATTATGAATATATCTACGGATATTATTGTAAAAATTCTAAATTTTCCTTCGTCAACTATTACATCAACAATGAGTACATCAAAAATTGATAATGGTACATTATATGCTATTATAGCAGGTGTTGGTGCATTCATATTAATTATAATTGCAATTTTATTTATTATTATTTATTACAATGTTCAACGTGCTAAACAACGTGTTCCACCGTTTTTTAAAATACGTAAACATCCTCCAGCTCAAGGTTTAACATTTTTTAAATCAAAAAGTCCATTAAATGATTCATCACCGTATACATTAGGTGTACGTGATGATGATTCATCGAATAGTAGTAGTGATCAAACATCATCATCACCAATAAATAATCGTTTATTATCTGGACGTTATAAAGTTAATGAATTACCAGTTAATACAACAATTGAAGAATTATTATCTTCATATGATAATCGTTCAACAAGTAGTTCATCAAGTTCATCAGGTGTAGGTGATCATGGTATAGCAGCAAATACAGGTTCATTTCGTACAATAATACGTGAAACAAATGATCATCAAACATTAGATACAATTAATGAAGATAGACAATGGGTTAATAGTAATCAACATCAAGATCAACGACGTTCAAATAGTTTAAGACGTCCAATAATACCTGAAGATGTTATGGATATTATATCGGAATCTCATGAGGTAGATTATAGACTAAGACAAAATACTAATGCTTGTTTGACTTGCTTAAATTCTAATTCTGCTAATACTGTGTGTTCTCATACTTGTTCATTATTATCGAGCATATCAACTCACTCATTGTTATCTTCCTCTTCCTCCTCATCCTCAGGTTCGACAACCACTGTTGCTGCTTGTCAACAACAAACAACAACTACAACAACAACAGTTGAAGTAGGACCTAACAGCTTAAGTAGTTATGATTATGCTCGATTCAGTCCTATTGCTTCTACTCGTTGCTAATTCTTTTGCTTTTGTTTTTTTAATGTAACATATATATATAATATGCTTATTAATACTAATATAAAATGCATGATATTCTATTCAAAATGATCTACGTATACATATTTATTATTTCAGTCATCAATCAGCGGTGCAGGTACCGACATTGGACTATCGCCAACAACATTATTACATCAGCAATCCAACACGAGAAACATTCTCAGTGGAAATTTAAACGAGTATTTGACAGTATTTGTATAAAGAAGAAAAGAAAGAAAGAAATCAAATTCAAGTCAATATTTGTTTTTTATTTTCGATAAAAAATCAGTTGCTAACGAGTTTTTTTTTAAAAGTGTATTTTGAATTTGTTTTTCTTATACAAATTGTTTCATAAAAGATAGATCACCAGATATATATTGATTGAAAATTTTCAAATGTATTCTTCAATAATTTCATAATAGATAATATAAAATCAAGTGTAACTATTACGGTAGTATAACAGATGAAACAAAATCTTATATAATACAACTGATTTGAAATTTCATCGAATATATGCTAAACATATTTATGCAAGTAAAACTAGATCGAAGAGATCATTTCTATGCTCAAATATATTTTAAGAGGAAAGACATACTCATCGCTGTTAATTATAGTAGTCCATGGTAGATTTTCGTATGATCAATTATACAATAATGTATAGATAAGTTTAGAAATTTAAATAGATTTGAACAAATCATGCTTATAGTGAAACCATAGTTATGTATACAACATGCTGAGGGGAAAAGAAAATAGACGAAAGGTAAATGTGAAGAATAAATACTTAACAGAAATCAATACAATGATAGTTATAGAGAACAAGATGTATGGCTAATCATGTCTATTTTATGGAACATTTCACCAATGTATTACAAGAACTTTGTTATTGACATGGAGTTTATAAGATCATATCATAAGAGAGAAATACAACTTGTATACCTTTATTATTGTAACATTCAAAGCTTGAAAGCTTTTGTGTAAATCTACTTTGAACAAAAAAATCTAAGATTACTTATTCACTTATACAAAAGTGTTTTGCTCATGTAACTAATCTTTTATATCAATATACCTTTTTCGAAAGGTCATTACTCTTGTATTACAATACATTATCGTATTAACATAGTAACTGTATTTATGAATGTGTGAATTTTAGTTGTATCATAAATGAATTGATGAAAATACCAAAGATGATTATGACTTGAATTCAAATATATTTCTTTCTACTTGACATAAGCATAGGAAAGTATGAAAAATGAGTAAATTTATGACTATTCAGTGTTCAATATCGATCTGAATTACATACATCGTGGAATTATAAATATAATCTACCATAAATGGTTTTTTTTTAATATTCGGGATCGACAAAAGAAAACAAAGACATTGAGAGCAATATTTGAAAAGTAAAAGTATAGCGATCACGATCATGACTACAAGAGTTTGAACCTATGCATGTCTAGTCATAACTACATATATACATCTATTCTTATTCTTATTCTGACTTTTTCATGAGATGCTGCTCATAAATAATGCGACCATTCTTTTGATCAATGAACAGGCACCCCTCATACTTTCAGTCAAATGTCATACTACTGGAATTCTCGAACATGTTTAATTTTGTTTCACATGAACTAGATTTTGCTATAATCATTTTTCAATTCATTTTAAAAATCAAATGCTCGACAACTAAGGATCAATCTATAACAAAAGGCAGAGTAATGATCGGTTAATTGCAGACATCCACATTATTCTCCAGATTTTTGTATTAGTGCAAGTATGAAAAGAAAACAAATCCTAAAATATATTCCAGAGCAACAAAGATAAGAAATCTGTGTCTTCGTTTTTAATACTATTCTGATTCATATATTCTTTTCAATGAACACCCATACATAACCAGTTTTGATATTATAAAAAATTGGAAGTCTTGGAAAAAGCTCAGAATAATATTATTACAACCATCAAACAGAAGCTACCATAAACGGTACTGGTAAATCAGTGATAGGAATTTGGTGAGCCCCGCCAGAAAATTTCCGGAGGTATCAGTATTATTTCAGTTTTGAGAATACCAACGCATGCCACATCAGATTTTATCAAGAGGTTTCAAAATTCATAAAAAAATATCTCTTCGTTCGCAAACTATGGCATTGCGAATCATTGTACAAATTATTAGCACTGTCATTAATCCTTCGATTGAAGTGTAAATCCCTCTAGGTGCAGCTACTTATAATTTATTGTTTGATATAACAATATACAATACACAGATTATACTTGATATGGACCAGTCAATATGCGACATCTAGTACTTATCAGTTTATTAGATCTTATATTCGTCGTCTGAATATTTTCTTTTTGATTGCTTCCATCAAATAAAAAGACGAAATTACTTTGCAGAAAATAAGTTTACTCTACTAAATTTTGTAAAATGATTATTTGTTCAATTTATTTATTTTGTATAATTTGTTCAATTTATACATATATCAAGTCAACAAAATGGCGAGTATCAATCGATAATATATACATATATATCGACCGACATTGCTCATTCAACTGTTCTTCGAATGCATTACGAGTCGTATCAAATGTCAACGACTATAACTAGTCGTCGAGCTCATGCTCATGCTGCTGGTGGTGGTGGTGGATGTGATGGATATTTAGGGCAAGATCAAATTGAATCAGCTAATGCTCAATTAAATTCTACACGAGCACAACGTATTCGAGCTGCTATATTTCCTGAAATAACGGATGATAATATTTCGAATTGTTTAACTTCTTCACCAATACCTACAACACAATATCTTAATGGACAAACAACAGCTGTACAAAAACTTTGTGAATCATCTCAATTATTAAAAAATGCTGTTGCTGATATTATTAATTATAAAGATGATGCGGAAATAACGGAAAAAGCTTTACCGGAATTACTTCGTTTAATTAATGATAATGATCCAATTATTGCTGGACAAGCATCCTTAGTTTTACATACATTAGCAAAAAAAGAATCGAGTAGATGTGTTTTAGCTACATCACAAGTAATGCAAGCTTTACTTCAAGCCATATCAAATCCACGTGCTAATGATGAAACCCATCGTGGTCTTGCTGGTGTACTACATTGTTTATCTCAGTATAAACAAGGTCTTTGTGTTATATACAAAGGATGTGGTATTCCAATTCTTGTTAAACTTCTTGAGTAAATTAATCTTGATATTAGTCTTATCTATTGACTATCGTTTTCCTCGTTTTAGTTCATCAAATGAATCAGTAGTTAATTATGCATTAACAGCATTACATAATTTATTATTATATATTGAACAAGCTAAATGTGAGATACTTCGTTGTTGTGGTTTGCAGAAAATGATTGTACTATTAAATAGTACTAATCTAAAATTTTTAGCAATTCTTATTGATTGTCTTCATATGTTAGCATATAATAATGAAGAAGTTAAATTAATTATTGAAGCAAGTAATGCTCCACAACAATTATTAAATATATTAGATAGAACTAACTATGAAAAACTTATATGGACAATAACACGTTTACTTCGTGTTTTGTCAACATGTTCATCATTAAAAATAATGTTAGTATCAAAAAATACAGTACAAATTTTAGAAAAACAATTATATCAACCAATAAGTTTACGTGTACAACAAAATTGTTTACAAATTCTTCGAAATTTATCTGATCAAGCCGTTAAATTAGTTAGTTTTTAATAAAAAAAAATTTTTTTAAATCTATATTTTTTTTTCTTATAGGAAAATCTCGATTCACTTATACGTTTACTCATTGATCTATTACGAACAAATGATTTCGTAACTGTTTCATGTTCTGTTGGTATCCTATCAAATTTAACATGTAATAATCAATATAATAAATCGATTCTTGTGCAATCTAATGGTGTACATGCACTTATAAATACAATCATTCATGGTCATGATAAAGAAGAAATTATTGAACCAGCTATATGTGCATTAAGACATGTAACATGTCGACATTCACATGCAAATGAAGCACAAAATGCTATACGAAATATACGTGGATTTTTACCAATTGTTGATCTACTTAATCCAACAATATATTCATGGCCTATAATAAAATCAACAATAAGTTTAATAAGAAATTTAGGTTTATCAAAAGATAATCTTCCACTTTTACGTGAAACAAATACAATAGAAAAATTAGCACAATTGCTTCTTCAAAGCTATGAACAATTAGGACATCAACAATCTACTAATAAACAATTTTGTGATAATTATGCACGAATGGATGATATTGTTGAAGGTTGTCTTAATGCATTACATATTTTTGCAAAAGATCAACAAAATAGAAATATTATACGAGATTTAGATTGTATACCATTATTTGTTCGAGTAAGAAACTTTTTATTCGAAAATAAATATTAATGATTTTAATCTTGAATAGTTACTCCGTCCACCAACAAATGTAGGTATTCAACGTGCAACTACAGCTGTTTTATGTGAACTGGTTAATGATCGTTTATGTGCTGAATTAATTGAACAACAAACTTGTACACAAATATTAACAGATTTATTGAAATCAAGTGATGAAGGTGTTGGTAAGTTGATTTTTTGGGAAATACTAAATCATCTTGACTTATCTATTTTAGCAACATATGCAGCAGCAATTTTATTTCGTTTATCTGATGATAAACCAAATGATGGTCTATCAGGATATCATCATGAAGAACATACAGTCAAGAATGTAAATCGACTTTTGTTTTTTAAAATGAATACATTCAATTTAGCTCTTTTTAGCATTATACTTCGAAAAAAGAAACATATTCAACACCATATCGACGATCACCACCGCCAATGCATGATGTACCTGCAATAAATTATTATGCATCTGAAGGTTCAGCTGGTAGTGGTCTTGGTGGTTTCGTAGATAATCAAAATCCACAAACAGCACCTTGGTTCGATAGTGATCTTTAAACAGTAGTTGTAGAGATTATTTATACGTAGATATATATATTTATACATCAGGGTATTAGATAACTCTTTTAATCGATCTAATCATTTATTCATTTAGTTTTTCAATCTCAGATATATATTTGCTCAAAAACCGTTTTTCGGTCAGTTCTTTTTTTTTGTAAACGCGCTTTTTTTTATACGTTGATCAATAAATCAATTTTTATGCTTTATACATTTTACAAAAATTTCCTATTATTGTAGATATTATAATAAATATATTTCAAAATGGCACGATCAAAAGTTTTCTTGTATTATAAAAATTATTTTTATTTATTAATAATATTTTTTTCGTGTTAAATTTAGTGATGTTAATATTGAAGATAAACCATTAGGACGCATCGTATTTCTAGTTAGTGTTATATAAACTATTATATATCGAATAATAGAAATTTTATTTTAAATTAGCTCTACAATGATGTTGTACCAAAAACAGCTGGTATGTTAAGAATATATTGCATATTGGATGATTATTATTTTTTGTATAGAAAATTTTCGAGCTTTATGCACAGGTGAACGAGGTTTTGGCTATAAGGATTCAACATTTCATCGAGTAATTCCACAATTTATGTTACAAGGTGGAGATTTTGAACGACAGTAATTATTATTGATAATTTCGATTAATAATCATTTCATTTATTTTTAGTAATGGTACAGGTGGATACAGGTAAGATATATTGTTTCGAGAAAAAAAAAGAATTTATTTTGAGTAAATTAAATAGTATCTATGGTGGTAAATTTGAAGATGAAAAGTAAGTTTTTTTGCTAATGTATTAAAAATAATATATTTTTAATATTTCATATAGTTTTCAACTTAAACATACAAAAGATGGTTTACTTTCAATGGCAAATGCAGGCAAAAATACAAATGGTAATATTATTTTTCTTTCTTTTTCATGTAGAAATAATATTTATATTTCTGCCTAGGTTCACAATTTTTTGTTACAACAGTACAAACACCATGGCTTGATGGTAAACATGTATGTATTTTTCTTTTGGTCTAGTGATCAATTATTTTATTTTTTTATAGGTTGTCTTTGGTGAAGTGACTGATGGAATGGATATTGTTCGAAAAATTGAAGCTTTAGGTTCACAATCTGGTAAAACACAAAAAAGAATTACAATTGCAAGTTGTGGTGAATTAGATCGTTAAGAAACATGCTCAAACTTAATTTATTTCTACTTATTCTCGCATATATATATATACTGTGTTTTTTTTCTCCTTCAGCTTTTCATACCTTGTGAGTGCAAATTTACTTCATAGAATTAGTTTGCGTGATGGGAGAAGAAAGAGAATGATTGATTTACCCGTGAAATTCATTCTTTTTTTTTTTGTTATGTTACCATTGCTAGTATTTTATGATAACTTTTAAGCAATAAAAAAGACAAAAGTTACATTTTTTGAACTTACATCTCATCATTCTATATGTCAAGTAAGAACTTAATAGCATAGTATTATAATCACAAAAGTCTATTGCCGGATGTTGAATAGTTCCGGACGCGGATATATAAAGACATCGTCGTCTCGTTTGTTTAATAAGGACGATAGATGGCATTAAATTCAAAGTAATTGAAGTTATGATGGTATACGATTTGCTCTCTATGATGATGAAATTATAGTTGAAATTGAAAAATGAAATAAATGAGACATTTTCAAAAAAAACATTTTTTAAATTTAACTAGAGAGGATATATTGTTAACAAATTATAAAATTAATTGTTTTATTGGTTGATAAAAGACAACGCTAGCTACGTATCTTCATCCGTACAGACAAAGAACGACCGCCGTGTCGGTCGTTTCTTGTTCTTCTTCATCGCATTTCCATTTTCTCCTTTTTTTTCACTCGGGTTCATCACAAACGCACACATCTAACTAACTTAGGTAAGAATAATGAATGCATACCGTTATGTATTTCTCGAGCACATCATAAAAAGAAGAAGAAGAAGAATAAGAAGAGAAAAAAAAGAAAGAGGTAATAGAATAATGTGCATCTATCATTCTTTTTTAAGGTAATAATCATGGATTACCCAACAAGTAATCGTCCACCTCAACCACCGATGCATCATCAAATGCCGCCTCATCCAATGCATCATTCTCAACATCCACTACTTTCAAATCAATTACAACCAATTAATCCTGAAACTCATACATCGATGTGGTTAGATGATCCATATAATGTTTCAAATGCATCTGCATCACAACGTGATTCAGGATTTAATTCTCGTCCAGCATCATTACGTAGTATTGAATCAACAGTAACAAGTACAACAGGTCCTTTACATCATGGATCAACAACACCTATTGCTTATGAGCAATTACCTCCACCACCTCCTCTACCACCTGATCATGAAGGTCTTCATCCACAATATGCTGAAATGCAACCAGCACCTGTTCCACATGCTCGATCAGATCCTAATCAAGTTATACCTGAATTACTTAACTTATTAATGGAAGATGATCCTGTTATTGTTCGTGAAGCTGTAACATTAACACAAATGTTAATTAAAGAAGGTGGTGAAGCCCGTTCCGAAGTTATCCGAAATCGTGATGTAAATTTTAATATAATTATTTTTCTCTCTATATAAAACTACTATTCTTTCTTCTTTTTATAGTTAATTCTTGCTTTATTGGATAGTTTTTCAAAAGATATTGGAGATGGTAAAATAATCTATGCACTTGCTAGTTTATTTCATTCACTTTCTCAACAACAAGAAGGTCTCCGTGCATTACTTGAATGTGGTGGTATTCCACGATTAATTCAAATCCTTGAGTAAATATATAAAGAAATTCTGTTTGATATTTAAAAAAAAATTGTTTATTTAGTTCACCTGATAGTACAGTTAATTTTGTTATAACAACATTACATAATTTTCTAATCGTTCTTCAAGAACAATCCGCAAATGAAATTGATCGTTGTAATGGTACACAAAGTTTTATAAATTTACTTCATAGTGCAAATGATAAATTATTAACATTATTATCTGATTGTTTACTTAAAATGACAAATTATAATTTAAATTCAAAACTTTTTATACAAAATAATGAAGAATGTGTTCAACGTCTTTTATTTATATTTGATACAACAAAATATGATAAATTATTATTAACAATATCAAAATTATTTCCAATAATATCATCAGGAAATGAAATAATTAAACGAGTATTTTTACAATTAAATGCATTAAGTATATTTGAAAAACAAATTAAAACAACCAAAAGTATTCGAATTAGACATAATTGTCTTATTGCATTAAGAAATATATCTGATCAAGCAACACGAATGGTAAGGATTTCGATAGACTCGGATCATAAGAAACCAAAGATATAGAGAAAAATAGGTCTATGATTCTTTCTGAGTAGATAATTGGAAATAAAAAAAGAGTTTGTGAAGAACTTCCGATTAGATTAGAACCGACAACGCTTCAAACCAGCTACTATTTGTGGAAACGAGATGATTGGAAGTAAACCTAACGAACCGTATATTTGTAATCCGATAGATGTTTCATAAAAATCTCAATAGCAGATCTAGGCTGTATGCTTCAGAGATCTTCTTTTTCAATCGAACAGTCACTTCGTAATAAAGGTTTTTCGTATTCGAATAATTTATTAGAAAACTTTCAGAAGCAGACTGTACGAGAAGATCGGTCATTGTGTCCGTCCGTTTACACGATAAAAGGCAGATTTTGATGAAACTTTCTACACAATTCAGTCCCATCAAGATCTCGGTCGAGTTCGAAGTTGAGCCATTCCCGAGTTATTGCAAAAATACTGATATTTCCATATGAATTCTCATATATTTTTTTTTCTTATTTCAGCGTGATGTTGATTCATTAATTCAACAGTTAACAGGAATATTATTAACCGATGATCAACAATCTGTATTGTGTTCATTAGGTATATTAAGTAATTTAACAGCTGATAATCGAGCCAATAAAAGTTTATTAGTAAAATTAAATGGTGTACAAACATTAATGCAAAAATTGATGGTGAATACTGATGGAAATGATGATTTAATTGAAGCTGCTGTAAGTTATTAAAATAGATTTTTTTTTTGTTTTTCTATTTTCTATTTTAGTTATGTACACTTCGACATGTAACTGCACGACATGATTTTGAAAATGAAGCGCGTGAAGCAATTAGAAAATCTTATGGTATTGGAAATATAATTAAATTATTACGGGATAAAAACTTCAAAGAACATTGGGGAATAGTTAAAGCTATAGTTGGTTTAATAAAAAATTTAGCTTTATCATCAACAATAATTTCACAATTAAGTGAACAAAATGGTGTTAGAAAATTAATTGAATTATTAATAAATATTGATCGAGAACGAGTGAAAATTTATGAAGAAAATAAACAACAATATTTTCATCAATTTGATGTTATGGTTGAAATTATTCTTGGAGCTTTGAATAATTTAGCGAAAGATTTAAATTGTAAAACAATTATTAAAGAAATGAATTGTTCATCAATTTTTATACGTGTAAGTAGAAAACAAATTTGAAGAGACACTTTTTTTATTTATTTAATGTTTATTTTAGTATTCACATTTACCATCTTGTTCATTACAACAAAGTGCAAGTGTTCTATTAAAAGAATTAAATATCGATCGAGATCGAACGCAATTAAGTGATTCATCATCTCATCAACAATTTAATAATAATAATAATAATAATAATAATATCGATTCTCGTCATATTCGACAGCAGTGACATCAGATCTTTTCGTTTTTCTTTAAATATAAATATCAATTTTGTCCTAGTCACCTGTTATTCCCTATTTTTTTTTCGAGTATATATTCTCTGAATGTTGTCTCCATCTTTGATCTTTTTTTTCTTCTTTCTTATCAATCGGCCTACTGTCAGATGTTGTTTTGTATATGTATTTTCTCTTTATGTGTGCTTCCTTCGATTTATATATATATGTAAGTGTATACATATTGTGCAATCGACTTTGTGTCAGTTTTTCTGTTGTAATTTTTTTTCGTTAATTAATTGGTGTTTTCACTATAATGATCATGCCATATAATGTTCTAGATTTGATATCATTCCATTCGAATAGTCCAAATAATGTCCGGTGACAACGTTTTCTTCGATGTCTCAGTTGACAATAACCCACTTGGTCGTATTACATTCAAAGTAAGCATTTAAAATTTCTTTTTCGTAAAAGAAAAAAATTAATAATATTTCTTTTTTTCATAGCTCTATGATGATGTTGTACCAAAAACAACAGGTATATTAAATACAAATAATTTTCTTCCTTCTTTCTAAATTATTTCTTTTATTTTTAAGCCAATTTCCGAGCATTATGCACAGGTGAAAAAGGTTTCGGTTATCAAGGAAGTACATTTCACCGTGTAATTCCACAATTTATGCTTCAAGGTATATAATTATCTTTTGTATTATTTTCTCGAATTATCTATAATATATTTTTATAGGTGGTGATTTCACCCGACAGTGAGTTGATAAAAAACAATTTTTTTTGTTTGTTTTTCATATATTTAATATTTTCTTTATATTTAAATAGCAATGGTACTGGTGGCAAAAGGTATGTTCATTATTTTAGTTCTGTAATTCGAATAAATTCTTTTTCGCTTTGTTTATTTAGTATCTATGGTGAAAAATTCGCCGATGAAAACTTCAAACTTAAACATACAAAACCAGGTCTTTTATCTATGGCTAATGCTGGTCCAAACACCAATGGTTCACAATTCTTCGTTACTACCGTTGTAACATCATGGCTCGATGGCAAACATGTACGATATTTTGAAATAATTATTGTTAAATGTTATTGTTTCTTTTGTTTTAAAAAGGTCGTCTTCGGTGAAGTCGTTGATGGCATGGATATTGTTAAGAAAATCGAAGGCTTAGGTTCACAATCTGGCACACCAAAAGGCAAGGTTGTTATTACAGCCTCTGGCACCGTCTAAATACAAAACGATCAAAAAATAAATAAACTCATCGTCTATTTCTTTTTTGCTCAATGTTGTATGTGCGATCTTTACCTATTCATTTTATTCTATTCTCATTAGGTGATATTATCTCTCATTTACTCTTATTCATTTCCTTCTCATCATAAAAGCCAGCAATATCTTTCTTTCTGATTTTCATTAGCTATCATGCCTGTGAGTTAGTTACATTTAAATAAAAACAAGCATTCATATAATGACATTAAATTAATTTTTATTTATATTATCAAAAGAACAAAAATTTAATAAGATAATCATACGGTGCGAGAAAATTGTAGTGGAGATGTATAATATGACGTAAGTGAATACAAATTATAATGATGGTTTTTATATTAGATTAAATAAAGATAGGTATATAGTATGAAGAAAGATGAGCACAGTCGGTCTTTTTTTTTGAAATCGAAAGAGGTTACGTCATCGTTAAAAAATAATTGTATATATTATTCAGGAAGATCACTGAATAGAACATGTCTCACACTAAAATCAATTACGATATATTATGGATATAAATCATTGATTCAACGATTATTGATGCCATTTTGTCTTTTATTATTCGATAAATAATTTGCTTTCGCGAATATCTATTCTTTTATTTGACAAGTTTTATCGATAAAATAAAATAATTATCAGAATGTTCATGAAAATATTGAGACTGATATCTTCGCATCCATATTCTACTCCTGTATCATATGACAAATCTATCAATGTCAACATAACCTTCAATTTGATCGTATAGATTTCAAAGGATTACAACTCTAATTCTAGATCAATCAAATTGAAGAATAATAACATTATAGGTCTCATTTTTCATTATAAATTCTATTTTGATTAATATAAAAATGAATAATGCATGGATCTATTCTTTAGAAAACAAAATAATATTATGCAAATAATGATATGATAAAAAAATATATATATTTTTCTTTCTCATTATGAACTTTTCAACTACGTTGATAATATCGTTGAATTTCTGCTATATCATTAGTACTTAATGTATATCGTTGTCCTATCCGAACATTAGGATCTTCTGTCATAATAGTCGCTAATCCATTTTTTGAATTATAATCATATGGAAGATCTAATGTATCCGTTACATCTGATAAATATTTATTAAAATTATGTTCTCTTCCTAAACAAAAAAGAAAAACTAATTTACATATAAATAAATAATATTTACCTTGTTGTACATTATTAAAATTAATCGTTACATAATCATCATGATCTGGACGTAATTGTTCATGCCAAAAATCGAGAGCTATAATAGAATAAAATATTTATTAGAAACATAAGCAATCAATTTTCTTTTTATCATGCATAAACTCATGCATGATAGTTGCTTCATGATCAACACAATAGGATTTCATTTGTAATGTAACTGATTGACCACTTTGATAAACACGTCCGACCTAAAATAGAAAGTCTATTAATAAATTATGACGTACATATGAACTATATTGACTACCATTTTTAATGGAAATAAAATATTCATCATCATTAGCATTAGGTCGAAATTGTACACAGAATGAAGCAGAATTTGGATCTAATAAAATCAATCGTTTCAAACGACGCATGCCTGCTATGATCTTAGCTCGATCATATGCATCTTAAGTTAATAAATATTTTATAAGAAACAAACCATAATCTGTTGAAATTTCATATGGAACAATTCCATTTGGACAACGAGCTGATGAATTTTATTTACCTATTTCTTCAATATTTGTTTCGTCTAAACATCTCCTTTGTGGGTAACAATGTGTGAAATAAATTAAGAATAGAAATACGAACATGTATAATATTTGTATCATTTCTGTTTTTTTTATTATTTTGATAATATTATCCTCTGTTGTTTTTTCTCAGTATGAAAATCAGAAAAGACTAATCAAATTGATAAATCTAACGTGATCATAATGATATTAATAGAATCGGATTTCGTAAAAAAAAAGAAAGATTATCGATGAAGATCATATCTACTCCCAGGAAGTTTTCAATTTTGATCTGTTTGTATTTTAAAATAAGGTCATACAAAAAACTACAGATTTAATAAGATTTTCTACCTTGAATAGAAAAGTTCAATGTCGATCATTTACTTGTCTGTTCTTATGAATAATACGTATCTAGGACGTTGATTTAACTAATACGTCTATACTGCATATTTCGACTGTTGAAAGTAAGAGCAAGTGTTATTATTAATAGTGCCATATATTTAGATAGAATATACATAACTCTTGTTTTCATTTGCTTACAATGGAGAAGAATTAAGATCTCGAAGATGAAGAAAAATTCTTTTTATGTAAATTTTTTCTAGTAAAATCCATTGTCAATCGGTATGGATGCTCAGTGTTTTATTCTTCAACATTATATTTATTAAGTAATCCGTATAGAGATACTATTTATATCGATGATTTCAAAGCTAATGTATCAAAAAAGTTGTCATCCGTTTTTGTTCATTCTTCATCCATAGAATTATCATCGTTTATATATTCAGTAGTATAGAAGTGCCCACATTCTAGACACACATCAGATACTTAAAATTATCTTTTAGATGTTGAGGTAAGGCCTGATTCATAGTATTTTCCAGTATACTAAATTTGACTCATCGACAAATAAAAACTCATCAGCCACTTTTATGAACAACTTTTAAATGACAAATACTAATTACAAAAATTTATACAGAGAAAAATCATCAGTCCAGTTCTTTGTTTTATATCTTATTTAGTTTTCGATAGAAGTGATTCATTAAATTTGAGACATAGTCGAAATCAGTTAAAGTCATATGTGAATTCTATATTCAATCATATATTAAAATACGAATTGATAGTTTTAAAACAAAAATTTGTGTTTGTTACGTTTAGAAATATATTCAGTATTCGAATAGGATGTAAAATAAGTAATGTAGTCTGTATTAGAAATTAATACGTTATCTTAGTCACATCAAAATAAGAAATTCTTTATGGTTTCGTATAAATATAACAAACTGCAAAAACTAATATGATTATTATGTATATTTCTTAGACAACATCACTCATGAATCTGATTATAGACGTATTGACAGTTTTATTTCTTATATGGAAATCAACAGTATAAACATCTGTCAAAAAAAAGTCAACTTGTTTTTTTTTCTTCTTTTCAACAATCGATAACAGTAAGACTCTATAGGTTTATTAAGTTCATTTTGTATACGAAGAAAATACTAGATATATATTATTAGTATGAATATTTATTATTTTTCAGCCTAAAGAATTATATATGGTGTTGTAATTGATATTACTGTACTTGATTAGTATTCATGGTTAAATAATCAAAGAGCAACATAGAAAAATCCGACATAAATGAACATCATCAATCAACTTCCTAATTTAGTTCATGACAGAACTCATTCTTTTCTTTTCTTTTCGAGAACATGCTATATGTCTCTATTCGCTTGAATAGAACTGAGAAAATTGTAAGTAACTATCGATGCTAGTTTGACATAGACAAACTGAAGCTATGCTATACTTGAATAGTATAATTGACTGAAAAAAGAAACACCATATGCAAATAGTTGATGTTCTTCTTTATGATAATTTATTTGTCGAGAAGTATAAGTGAATAAAAACGAGTGTGTATGATTTATTTGTATTACAATCAGACAGAATCATTCCGACGAATACAATTCACATTTTTGTTTAAGAATGTCTTCATCTAATGAAATTATTTATCATGTGATTATATAGAATAATCAATCGATGGGTTTAATTCATAAGAAATTATTTATTTTATTCGCTCTATCTATTTATATTCTTTTATGGATGTTAGTTGGATTTTTTAAACGATCAATTAATTCACAATATTATCAAAATCATATTTTGAATTCAAATATTTCTTTGGTTCTTGAATATATATCAAAATTAAATATTAATTTATTATTAATTGATCCAATCGTACTTGATTATCTTTTTATTCGTCGTTTATCTTTACAAAAACGTTTAATTACATTTGGTATTTCAAATGAATCAATTCCATTTCTTGATCCATTATTTTCTATACAAAACTTTTCTATTACACTTTCAACAAATATAAAGAAAAAATCTATCGATCATATATTTATTGAGTATAATCAACAGATTATTCATTTAGCTATTTTACACAAACAAAATTCTTATTTTCTTATACATAAAAATACTGCACAATTACCAATAGACATAAAACTTTCATATGGTGATACACTTCGTATTCTTGAACCGTAAGAAATTGAATTAATATTTATAAAAATAAAATTATTTTTTTTAAGTTTTGAATCAGTATTAATCGAAAATAAATTTTCATTTCCTCGAAATGTTTCACATTTTTTATGGTTATATAATACATCAGAATTTATTGAATGTAATCAAAATTTAGCAAATCATATGGAAAATAAATATAGTTTATATCAAAATAAAAGTCAATTAAATTTAACTATTTTACCAATGAGAACAATTGTCAATGCATTGAATAATCTTGAAAAACATCATTGGCTTGCCGGTGGAACTTTACTTGGTAAATAAGTTTTAACTTGTAACTGAATAAAACATATAGGCAGGGCTGTCTCGAAAAGAGGAGGTGGGGAGTTGTTCCCAGTCCTAAAATGTTCGCGACAACACTGTATGTAGTGTTTATCCAAATATGTGCTTGAAGACTTCCTTTTACACAAAGTGAATCTATATCTATCTTCATAAATCCGGATCCTTCTATAGAGATTGATCTCATGTAAATATGTGTATAGTCTTTAGAAGTTAGAGGAAGCTACACACTCATATAAGTAAATATTAAACTATTCAAATGAATCCTGTTTAAAGTCGAAATGAGGAAAAAGGAAAGTTCCTTAAATGTATATCATCGAGTTATGACTCTTGACAATCAATGAGTCGTCAGATAAAAATTACTTCTTTTTTCTATATAGGTTGGTATCGTCATTGTGGTTTGATACCATATACTCAAGATATGGATTTTGGTCTTTTTGCTGAGGAATATGATGACAGTATACGAAATTATTTTCTTGGAAATCCTACAATTTATCTCTGGGGAACATTAGGACTTGTAAGTAATTTTTCGATTAAATTCAATCTTATAAAAATCGAATAGGTTAATGATTCTTTGGAATTTCGTCTTTTCACGGGTTCTTATACATTTGATCTGTTTTGGGCATATCGTGAAGGTAATTATCGATGGTATGGTTATCAAATAAATCGAACTAAATATAAGTAAATATATTTATATATATAGGAAAAAATTCCCATATTTTTTTACTTGTATTTAGACGAAAAATTCCATTAATTCGAAGACTTTGTTCATGTGATTTATTTGGTTATCGTTTTTCTGTTCCATGTTCACCAATAAATTATCTTAATAATGAATATGGATATGAAAAATGGAAAATTCCATTAGAAAAAAATTATACATGGATTAATGTCAAATATAATTCTATATGGAATGATATATCATGGATGTATGCAGTACGTTTATATACACGAGAAGGAAAAGTTCGTACAGATAAATATGCTATTGATTGGATTGCAAATCAATTTAATTATTCATTAAAAACAATTCCAACATTTCTAAATATTTCATCAAATAAATCAGTAACTTTTCTACCAGTTAAAAATTAATTATCTTATGTTGCATGTTTTTTAGAAAAATTTATTTATTTTCATGTTTTGTTTTAAAATAAATATTAAGTAAAATTTCAATTTTTTCTTTTATAAAATTTCGACGTTACGTGCATGAAATAGAATATTAATCTTTGTAATCTTATCGACCTGACGATTCGAAAATAAGTATTAACTAATGCGTTAGATGTTCGGTATAACTGCGTGTCACGTTTTTGTGATTCTTAATCAGCGTGATAATCACCATCAAATAGTTTCGTTACTTTCACAATGGATATGGCTGATTAAACATGCTGAATGTAAAATTAAATGAAGATTTGAAAGAATATTAAGTTTGCCACCGATTTGTTTTCATACTTCAGTTAGTTTTTGCAAGGTCATAAAAATAAGATTTTGTCAATACTAGCATATTTATAACAAATAGATAAATGAAAACTATTTGCTTTTGTTCGTTATTTAATGAAAAAGATAAGAGATTTCCTCATATTCTCATTTGTTGTATGCATATAATATCAATAGAATCGATGAATAAACAGAAAACAAAAAAACAAACGCGTATTTTTCATGTTATACAGCCAGTCCTTGGAGAATACATAACTTATTGAACGAACTAGATATTTTTCAATTAGAATTTAGTCATACAAAAAACACGATTGAGAACTATAGAAATAACATAAACTGATTCAGTCAGTTAGATGGTACCTATTTAAAATGAAAAACTAATAAATTCGCTAGTTTATTTCTTATAAATAGTAAATACATTACAGAAAAAGTTATCTGTATTATTATCATTGAAATATTTCAAAATTCGCAATTCATTTTTTTATATTTATGTATTGTTCGTGTGCAAGATAAAAGCTTATATGTTCTTTTTGTATTTCTTGGTATGGGGATACGTCTGATCTGCATTAATTTATTGAGGAAAAAAAAATTATACACACACACACACACATATATATATATATAAATATGTTTATTTATTTATCTATCTTTGTTGAATTCTACTTAATAAAATATTAATTTTATCTTGTAAAGTAACCATTCCTTGATTTATTTCAATAAGTTTATCTTCCATTTTATCAACTTTATTTTCCATTAAAGAAACTTTTTGTGATGTGTCTTGAACAGTTGTACTAGTACTACTTTGTACACTATATAATTCAAGTAAAGTAACACAATTATCATTTAATTTACGTTGTTGTTGTTTCATTTTACGCATATAATGTATTGATGTTAATAATTTACGTTGAGCTTGAATATATGGAATAATCATATGTTTACCTTTTTGTTTTAAATACCAAACTCTCCAACCAAATTTAACAACATTTGCTGCTTGATCTCTAAATCCTTTAGCTAATTCAATACTTGCTACGAAATTGTGTACATATTTCTCAGATCTTGTTAATTCAAGTTTTTGTGTTATAACAGCAACAAGTAATGCAGTCGAAAATACACCAATAATACCTGTTATAGCAGCAATACCTAAGAGAAAAAAAATAATGAAACTATTATGCGAGACAAATCATACTTTAACAAAAAAAAAACAATTTTCGTGAGTCAGTCTGATTAAAATATAATAAGCCTTTCGTGAGAAGAAAAGTAAGAAAAAAAATTAATAATTAATAATCTTGAACAAATTCAATCGACAAATGCTTCAGAATAAAAAATGAATATTTCTGTCATGAAAGTAATCGTTTTTTTTTTTTGACATTTTTCTTCTAATCTAAATATTGTATCGATAGTAGTTTTTTTTACCTCGTCCGCAATATGTTGACGGTACAATATCTCCATAGCCTAGAAAAGAAAACCAATTTATAGAAAGAAAAGAAAAACAAGTCAATTACCAATTGTAGTAAATGAAATAACAAATAACCATGTTGCATCAAGCATTGACATATGTCCTGTTTTTTCATTAAAATCACATGCACGCATAGCCCAACTTGCAATAAAAAATGAACTTATACAAAATGTTGTTAAACATATTGCTGGATGTTGTTGAATATAAGCTTTAATAACAAAAGGAAATGTAAATGAAACACGATTAAGATAACCAAGTGATTGTGATGAAGCATCACGAACCAAATGTGAACGAAGCATTAATAAACGACAAACAATATATAAACGAAAAAACACTATTAAAATAAAAAAATATGATTAGATAAGATAAGATAATCTTCAAAAACTTACTTGGTAAACTAAGCATAACATCAATTGGTACATATGGTTTAGTTGGATCCATATTATTTGTATCGAATGTTGATGAGACAGATATTGGTGTATTTATTGTTGGCATTGTTGTTGAATTTAATACTATTGCTGTTGTTAAAACATTTTGACTAGAACGATAAGGATTAATAAAATTTAATCCATCTTCAGCTTTTTTAACATATTGTGAACCCCATTCAACAAGAAAATGACCTGGTATTGGATGTATCATACAAATCATTGCTTCTAACATAATAAGAAACATTTTTTTTCGTGTTAAACTTATACGCCAATCATCAATAGAATTATCTACACAATATAGAGTTAAATCAATACGATGATAATAAAAAACTAGACCAACAAGAATTATTGATGTAAATGATATTGTTGCTTTTATAAATAAACTAAATGTTGTATCTTTATGATCAAGACGATTAAATGATAATTCACATTCAATTATCATAAGAACAATACCTAATAGACCAAGAACACACATTAAATCACCAACAAATCGACTATGAGAAAAAACAAATTCGAATGAAAAATAAAGAATGGGTTGTTGTTTTTTTTATTACCGTTGAATATGTAAATTTTTTCGTTTTCCTAAACGATAACCAACATTAGCCATTAAAGTTTTCTTAACAACTCGTCGTTGTCGTGTTGGCATACGTCGTAGTTCATATTCATTTATTGATAAATTTGTTTGAGCTTTAGGTTGATTTGAAGTAGATGATGATGATTGTGCTGTTGTAATCGTAATACTAGTTGATGGTGTTTGTGTTTGATCACGCATTTCCATATATTTAACAACAGGTGAAGCACCAGATGTTAATGGTAAACGTGGATTGTCAGGTGAAGCCATGAAATATATTGTAGACTACTGTTATAAACCTACTAATTAAAAATTCAATGATAACAGCATTGAAACACTTGCCCTATATATTCTCGTGGGATGTTTTGTTTGAAGAGGAGAAAAAAAGAAGAAGAAGTTTTACATAAAACTATCTAAAAACAAAAAGAAGATAGTTCAGATAAAAAAAAAGTTGTTTGGATATAATTGTGCTAATGGCTATTTGATTAAGCTTGAAAGAAAAAAACTAACATAATAATATAACAAAAAAACAACAACTAATAAAAAGAAAGAAAGAAATAGAAGAAGAAGAAGAAGAAGAATACAAATACTAATTCTTTTCTTTGTCTAAGTTTGAAAAATATTTCCCCTGAAGACGATATCAAAAGCTCTTGTAGTCGATTCATTAAAAACACAGTACAAAATGTAAATGAATGCGTAGGTTAAAGCAATAGGGAAAAAGAACAATAATCAAAATAGTTCAGTCACGTACATAGCTAGCTTGGAAATTTTTCATTACTATATATATATATACGTTATTTCTCTATATTACTAAACACGAGAATTCTATCTTACGTATGCATATATGCTGACAAGAAATTTCTTTTTCGTTCATATGGCTGCATTTATTTTTTTTTCTTCTTATCGTATTTTTCTTCTTCATCAACATCTAAGAAATTCTTTTTTCTTATTCGTTCATTCATTAATATATATAAAAAAAAACTATATAGCCACATACCGATATTATCAGTCTGTTGGAAAGGTGCTATTTTTTGAGGTTTTCCTAATGGTTCTTTTGAGCGTATAAGAAATACACACACACTCATGTATATAAGTAAGGGTGAACAAACATAAACTAAGAAGAAAAAGGAGATGAAATAGAAAATTGAAACTTAATAGAATAGTCTATCCTTCGACCAAACATTCTTATTTTTTTCCCTCATTTGCATCATTGTCGACAAAAGAAAAAAAAAAAAAGGAAAAAGAAAAGAAAGATACGGCTACCAACATCTATCCTACTATGTTTGCAATAGAGTTTACTTTATGAATATTATTGTATAGACAAATCATGAAACATGAATTTTATCTGCTACATCATATTTGTAACAAATGATTGTATTGACTTATTCTGACTGATGTTATTGAGTAGCTAACAAGAGATCTGCAAATATTATTTATGTTTTCCACTCTTCAAAGTTCAATATAGTTTCTCATCTCAACAAATAACTATATTTTTTATTATTCTCAATGACTTTTGAATATTAAGAGGATTCTTTTGCTAGTCAAATCACTATAAACTTTATTTCAATAATAAATTTGTCATATATATATATATATATAGTATTACTTGCCATATTAGTTTTCCAGAAAAACTGATACGACCATGTCAAAAGCATTGTAATATTTGATATAAAAGAAATTGCTTTTATGAAACGTAGTAAGAACCATATATAAGTGATTAGTAATTAAAAAACGGTATGCTTCAATGTTTGAGAATAATGAAATATGATTGTAATTTCTTTTTTTTTTGGCAAAGAATCAGATAGAACCAAGGCTTGCTTGGAAAAAAAATAAGAAATGAATATCTATAAAAATGTTTGTTATATAAACACTTTTAAAGAAATTAGTTTCCGGATGTTTAATAGAACGTTCATGGGAATAGAAAAGTGAATTGAAGAATTTTTTTTTTGAAAAATATTTTATTCTTCATACATATCACCTTATGGTAAATAACAAAATTACTTTTTATCAAAAATAGTCAAGTAAAAGATTAGGAAAACATATGGAATATAGAGAGAAGGAAATTAATTTCTGAACAGTAACGGAATTTTTTTGTCTTTCAGAAAAGGAAACTCTAAATAGATTACTCAATGTATTTTCTGAATCAAGTAATTGACTTTTTCAATTTGATACATGCAAACAACTTCCTTCTTACAATGTTTCTATTTCTTTTAACTTACCTTAGAATCAGCAACATATAAAAAGTCTCATAATCTTCTTACACAAATGTTATTAAATATATGTGATAAAAATTTCTTTTATTCTAATTGCATTTTTTTTTCTTTATATTTTATCTTCTGTATCAGACATATTAAAAAATTAATCATTCTTCAGCATCATTTCATTTTACTATTTTCTTTCACATTATAAATGTCGTTGCTGAGAAACAGAATATAAAATACCGATAACATTTGAACACAAACGAAAAGAAGAAGAAAAATGTAAATTTATTCTTTTATTCTTGTCAGTTTTATCATTGATTGTTCTGTATATTCAGAGAGCAAAACTCAAATACGAAAGAAAAAGATCATGTTTATGATGGTATGCTGTTGTTAAGCGTATTTAGGGAGGCAAACGTATCGACAACATTTTTGAAGATTCGAATGACGACAGCACATAAAGTGGACGAAATACGTACATAATGCCTCGTGTAGTTCGATTACCGCCGCTGGTGCACAAATGTGGTGAGTACAAAATTTGCTCTCATCGCATATGCAAATAAAAGAATAATTCTTTTCTTGAATTTATTTACAAAATACAAAAAAAATAGAAATTTTTCATGACGTACAAGTCAGTATTCGTTTTTTGATGAGATCAGACTATTAATAAATATTTATTGGTCATAAATAAATTCCTTAGATTTATATATTACATTGAATATGAAATATTTGTTCACAAAACAACAGAAACAGTTTTTTAAATTATTTTTTTCCAGGAATGTTACATAATGATCTTTCCAATCCTAATGAAGATTCTGGTTCTATAAACGACAATGATCGACGGCAGTCTATTTTGGCTACATCCAGTCCACAAACAGATTCGTTACCAATTGACTGTATTCTAGTATATGGTCGTGATGATGATTCTGATAATGATGAAGACAATTATAATAATCCTGAACCTTACATGAGTCCTTCGGAAAGAAGAGAAAGATTTGAAGATTATCTTAAAAACAAACAACATCTTATTCTTCAAACAGTCGTATGTATAACTAATAGAACGAATAATAGATGAATTTTCAATCATTTACGAATAGAAAACCTCGTCAACAAAAAAGATGTATGTTAAAGTTCATACACCCTTCCATATTCTTTTATTAACTGCTGAAAAGATGCGAATGAGATTGCCTATTGAAGTGAGAAGCACTAAAAACATATACTTGTATTTATTTTTAATATATATATTTTTATAGAAAATTGAAGAAAATAAAAATAATCCATCAGAAATTAATAAATCATGTTGGAATCGTTTTACAACTTCATTGAAACGACCATTTCGTCTTGATCTA